GAGTATGAACTTACATCCATTTGTTTTTTCAGTCATTTTCTAGCGCTTTCATTTTCGACATTTATTTTGACGCAGCCGATGAGCATGGTCCTTCCTGGTGTGGTTGGGTTTAAATTAACTGGGAAGCTGAGAGATGGGGTAACAGCAACCGATCTGGTCTTGACTGTAACGCAAATGCTGAGGAAGCATGGCGTTGTGGGAAAATTCGTGGAGTTTTATGGTACATCTTCTGATACCCCTGCCATGTCACTCCTTTCCGTTTAAGCTATTCTGTAGCCACTGAATCCTTCTATGTTCCTCTCGCTTTAAATGTCGCGTTGCCTATGCAGGGGAAGGAATGAGCGAACTGTCATTGGCAGATCGTGCCACCATCGCTAACATGTCACCCGAATATGGTGCCACTATGGGCTTTTTCCCTGTTGATCATGTCACTCTGCAGTATCTGAAATTGACTGGCAGAAGTGATGAAACTGTAAGTAATTATGGAGATCATCACAATAATTTCTACTGACTACTGAGCACTTACTCGTATTAACTTAAGCAACTTCATAGGTTTCCATGATCGAATCTTACTTGCGGGCGAATAAGATGTTTGTGGACTACAATGAGGTGAGCTTTATGAATATTTTGACTCTATGAGTCCATCATTATTTCTTGCTAAGGATCTTTTTGTTGGAAGCAGCCCCAAGTGAAGAGAACATACTCGTCATATCTGGAACTGGATCTTAACGATGTTGAACCATGTATTTCGGGTCCTAAAAGGTAATCCACTGTGAATAAAATTCTGTCATAATAAAGAAGGTTTAGTTTGGCCTCCCTCACCCTTCTATTGGCTAAGAATCAACACTTTCCAGGCCACATGATCGAGTTCCACTGAAAGAAATGAAAGCTGATTGGCATGCATGCTTGGATAATAGAGTTGGATTTAAGGTGAGGCTTCCTGTAATCTTTGTATACTCTTTTTAAGTGATCATGGGTGTGTATGGTTATGGGACTCTTTGTTGGTTCCAAAATTTAGGAAGTGAATAATTCCCCACATGCTGTGCTTGTACTCTGGTAAACATACTTGAACAAAATAGGTAACTAACTATGTCCGTGTTGACTTGTGCTTACTACTGACATCAATTCCACCGGACCTTTTTTTTGCTTTAACTGTACGGAAGTTGAATGATGAGCAGCTTTATTCGTCTAAATCTTTATGCAGTCTTGTCTTACGTACATTGAATTTTTGAACTATGGTGTCAAAGAGTTGAGGAGCCTAAATGCCTTTTTCTTTTTCTGGAATATTATTGATTTTCTTTTTCTGCATTTTACTTTGGATTTTGACTGTTTTTCTTACATGCCTTTGCAGGGTTTTGCTATACCAAAGGAATCACAGGGAAAGGTTGCAGAGTTCAGATTCCGTGAGACTCCAGCTCAGCTTCGGCATGGGGATGTTGTTATAGCAGCTATTACTAGCTGCACAAATACTTCAAATCCTAGCGTAATGCTTGGTGGTGCTTTGGTAGCAAAGAAGGCTTGTGAATTAGGATTGGAGGTTGGCTGGCTAAAACTCTTCTTCTGACAAAGTAGAATATATTAGGCAATCAAACAACACGTTTAGATAATATGGGATTTGCTACATCGATCACGTGACAGTGTAGGCTCATGTGCATCTGCATGCACCTCTTAAAAGTTTACTCTTTTTATTGTCCGCTGATATATTTGAGGATTGTACAGATGCAGCTGGAAGCCATGCGCATACTTTAAAATTATTAACAGAAAATTCTGATGAGTTGCTACATTTGGTTGTAGATGACTTAGTTCTTTTACCTGAACAAAATAAATCTTGTGTCAGGTAAAACCATGGATTAAGACGAGTCTTGCTCCGGGCTCTGGCGTTGTGACCAAATATTTGCAGAAGAGGTGCTTTCCCAGATATTCCTTCAATGTCAGCAGCTGTGGATCTTCTTGCTAAGCTAGAGTTGTTGTTTTTGCAGTGGCTTGCAGACATATTTGAACCAGTTAGGATTCAACATTGTTGGCTATGGATGCACTACATGCATTGGGAACTCGGGTGATATTGATGAATCAGTTGCATCAGCTATTACTGAAAATGGTAGAAATTAATTCATAATCCTGCATAATATCATCAAGAAATTGTTATAAGCTCACTTAACTGTCGAATTTGCACACAATATCAGATCTTGTAGCTGCAGCTGTATTGTCTGGAAACAGAAATTTTGAAGGTCGTGTTCACCCCCTAACTAGGGCTAACTATCTGGCTTCTCCCCCTCTCGTGGTTGCCTATGCTCTAGCTGGCACAGTATGTAACATCTAGTTATATTTGCAGTTGTTAGTTCTTTATTAGCGATCTACTCCAAACTTAATATTTTCCTCAGAGTTTGCTTTTCTTTGTTATTGCAAATCTAGTTTTTTAGCGTAATCCTCATGGGAGACAACTTTTGCAGGTAGATATTGATTTTGAAACTGAGCCCATTGGGGAAGGAAAAGATGGAAGAAAAGTATACTTGAGAGACATTTGGCCGTCAAATGAAGAAGTGGCAACTGTAAGTCACTAAATTTGCTAGGAGCTTATAGAAATCTTCACTTTGACTAATAATTAGAGAGATCATATTTGGTGATTGTGTTTTTTTCTCTTGTATAACCTGTCTTCAGGTTGTCCAATCGAACGTGCTTCCAGATATGTTCATGGCTACATATGAAGCTATCACTAAAGGAAATCCTATGTGGAATCAGTTATCTACACCTTCTAGCACCCTCTATGCTTGGGATCCTACATCAACGTACATTCATGACCCACCATATTTCAAGAGCATGACGATGTCTCCTCCTGGCCCACATGGCGTGAAAGATGCTTACTGCTTACTGAACTTTGGGGACAGCATCACGACTGACCATATTTCTCCAGCTGGTAGCATTCACAAGGATAGCCCTGCTGCAAGGTATCTAATGGAACGCGGGGTTGATAGAAGAGACTTCAACTCTTATGGAAGTCGCCGAGGGAATGATGAGATTATGGCGAGAGGAACTTTTGCTAACATTCGCATTGTCAACAAGTTGCTGAAAGGAGAAGTTGGACCTAAAACAATCCACATCTCCAGTGGGGAGAAACTATCTGTTTATGATGTTGCCATGGTAATTTTCTTCACTCTGCAGATCCAACACAGACACCGCATCACAAATGATAGTGTCATGCGTGATGGGGCCTCATCATTTACTGTTGTTGGTTGGATACGTTATTCTATTTAGATTGCCCCTGAGAATAATACGACTTATAATGTCTTTTACTAGTTTTTGTCTGCAAATTCTTGGCAAGTCTGAAAGAAGCTGATTTTTTGTTTGGTCCATTAATACCGGCTAGACCAGCCTCCTAGCAACATCCTTTAGGGTCATCCCACTGTTAGTTGAGATTCATTTGACAGGTCAATATGATATCATCTTAATTGGGAGAACTTTTTAAAGATAATCAGCTGATTGTCCGCCTGCTGGTTAATATTCCATTAGCTGAGTAGGGGCTTCTTCGATGTCTCATTATCTGGTTACTGGTGCCATTGTGGCTCATACTAGTTTTATCGCTTGTGTGGCAGAGGTACAAGAGTGAGGGGCATGCCACCATTATTTTGGCTGGTGCTGAGTATGGAAGTGGAAGTTCTCGTGATTGGGCTGCCAAGGGTCCAATGCTGTTGGTGAGCATTTTGATGCTTTCCCATTCAATATTTCGTCCATATTTTACCTTCGGTTGCAACTAAGCTGTAAATTCGTATCAGGGCGTGAAAGCTGTCATAGCAAAGAGCTTTGAGCGGATTCACAGAAGTAATCTAGTGGGAATGGGTATCGTTCCTCTATGTTTCAAGGCTGGGGAGGATGCAGAAACGCTCGGACTAACCGGCCATGAACGCTACACCATTAATCTTCCAAATAGCGTGAGTGAAATAAGGCCTGGTCAGGACATCACGGTGGTGACAGACAATGGCAAGTCATTTGTGTGCACACTGCGGTTTGACACAGAGGTAACAGCATTAATCTGTCACTTATCTATATCCTTGAAAGACCCATTATCTGTTTGTCTCCTTGCTAAGTCTCGGTCGCTTCCATATGAAGGTTGAGCTGGCTTATTTTGATCACGGGGGCATCCTGCAGTACGTGATCAGGAACTTGATCGGAGCTGGACATTGAGCAACCAGGCAAGTTCCCCAGAGCCGACTCTTCTTGGTGTTCCCAGCATTTTCCATCCCATCCCGGTCGACATGGCTCGAGTAATTCTCTATTTTGGAGAGTTCTCCTCCAGCTGTAATAGGAATAAATCGGGGGAATAAATGGGGACGATTTCTGCGTTCTTGGATGATTATCATTCTGACTCATGGGTGGCAGATGAATTAACATTACGAGGTCACTGTTGGCGTTCATGATATGTCAGACAATCCATCGTTGGCCTCTCATTCTGTTCCAAAAGCTTTCGGGTTCGGTTTTTATCGGACAAATGAGTTGGATTTTAGAAGCCTACGAGAATTTTCAACTGTTTCCGAAATGTGATTTACTCGAGCAGTTTGCCTACTTCTGGTTTGAGATGATGGTGTAGAATTCATGCCTGAGACGTTTTCTTTCAAAGCTATAAAAACAAACGCATTACGTCACGTGTCGGGTGTCCATGTAGAAGTTCCAAATGGCATCTTACCCCGTGACCACTCTTCCTGTTAATAGCTGAGAAAGAACAAAAATGAGATCCAGGGAGCTTTGGTCGTTTCACTGGTTTTGGTCGAAACCGATCATAACAAAGGCCGAATCATCGCAGAGACGTTCCGGTACATTATGAAACACTTTTTGCAGAGACATTTTTCCCATACATCATATTGAAACGGCTATTTGGATGCATACCGATTCTGGCTCATGCTACAATTGAGGCCACATCTTGGATAGAACAGCAAATGACTATTCATAACTCGTGATAATCTTTTTACTCGTACATAATGGGCGGGCAATGCAAAACGCGCCACCCATTGCGTGAAGTTCGTAATTATAGCAATCATCAGCGTCCTCATGTTCTAATGCCCATCTGATTCCCAAAAAGATGGGAAGGAAGAGAGAAAGAAACGAGAACTGCTGTACAGCTGATTATACTGTTCTACACTAGAACTACGAAGACAACACAAAATTGCGAGTCGCCGCATGCTGGTTGCTGACGTGAAAGGTGGACATGAGACCCAAAAGATGGGGCCTTCACCCGAGAATTCACACATGTTACGACAGTAGGAGTTTACAAACTTTTGGACCTGCAAACGAAGCACCTATCAGCGGGTGCAAGATGGAGTAGTTACAGGCAATAATCGGTACTGATATTTAAAATCTACGTAATTTCAGGAAGGAAAACAAAGAGGGTGATAATTCAGTTTTGCTCAGGGTGATACGTGCACCGAAATGAAAGTAGTATCTAAGCAGGCAATCTTCCTTATCTGTAGCATGACTGACACACTGGGTGAATGAACTTATACAGCCAATGGTTTCCTAAATCATTTCTAAACATTCCAAAATGTATAAGAATAGCTTCAGCAAACTTTACACCTATCAGACAGTAAACATATCGGACTCATTCAACCAAGAACTGAACATAACATCTGCTATAAACTGGCGTAACCTGAATCTGTCCTTCATTTAATAAAGTTACGTGTGTAAAATAGCGCAACAGATAAGACCAGACATATTTCATTTATCATGCAATTAACAGACGGTTAGAACTTAGAGTAATGAAATTTCTATTACCTTACTAACGTACAGAGTGAGACACTATTAGTAGCAGAGAAATTATCACTAAAATCATATATTGTTTACAATCGCTACTGCAAGGAAACACGATCGTGAACCACTTCATGTTGTATATAATACTTATACTGAAACACAGAGCATTTGTATCCTAATCATCTGCTGCCAGCAGAAAAAAAAAATTACCTTCTGCTCAGTATCTCAAACTTTGTACTCATGCACACGCAGCCACTTAGTAGATGACCATTTGTTCCCCTTAATAACAGGGCAACCACCTGACATGAATCAGAATGGCTAAGTAAATAGTGACAGAAACTGGAGAATAAATTCGATAACTCATTTACAAGATCAACAAATAGATTTTAGTAAAATTGTACAGATTTTGACGTGCTATTATATTATGAAATCTAGGCATGACCAAGAACACATGACAGCCAAATAGAGAGCACAACTAACCATGCAAACTGGATTCATCCAGAGCACCATCAGGTTTCATACTCCAAAAAAGAAGCGCATCACCCATTTTCGGTTTAACGGAAAGTCCTTCTTTACCGCAATCAGAAAGCTCGTTCCACCAAGGTACTGCACTAAAGTTACCCTTGGCTGCTGGGAAAACCGTTTCACCTCCCTCCTCAACATCAGAGCTGTAATATATTATGCAGATGGAGAAGTCACAAAAGGAACATAAAAAGACAACACAGTATGTACTAATTCAACTATACAGAAAAGCTAAAAGGCCATTTTACTCACAGGTACATGAGAATAGTAGCTATTCGTTGACCACCATTCTTAGTGTTGTATTCATCCTGGAAGTAGTCATAGTGAGGTTCATACTTCTGCCCAACTTCATAGTGGAGAATTTGTAGTCCCTCTCCATTCTCTACAATTTGCTAAGTTTGTTAAATACATGAAAATTGTTATCAGCGTCGCTACAAGAATGTGGTTGATAAAGATTTATCCCTGCAAGAATGGCTATGTATCCACCAATTGGTGGACATTCCATCAGACAGATTGTGGAAGAGATAATAGTTTCAAGACATTAATTTGATAGCTGCAATTTAAGTATTTCAGTGATAATCATCAGTACTCCTTATTTGATATGCAGGTTATGACGGTGGTTAAGGAAATTTCACTGCATACCTACGGGTATGAAGGTAAAATCTGCTATCCTTTTCTCAATATCCCTAATTGTCTTATCTCGCCCTCTCGCCAGAAACGTCCCTGAGCTTGTCCGTACCCTGCATACAATGAGATTATAATGGAGTAAACTATTGACCAGATATTTCATGAAGTGGGATGAAAAGAGGTGTCTTAAAAGCTCAATGTTTGACTTTAGTAAAATAGATGGTGATTGAACCTGCTATCTTTACTCTTGCCAGTAGCACTATCTACAACAGTTGACTTCTGCATACGGGGCTTGGCAAGTTCGATTAGGTATTTGCACTCGTCTTCAGACTGCACAAAAAAGGCTTGGCAATGTTAAAGGCTATTAAATCCAAGAGCAGGACCATAGCAAATGTGCTAATGTAAATGTAAAATCATATAACCTGACGCCTTCAACTGATCACATGTTAGGCTAAAGGATGAGGTTTTTAGTTAGGAAATTGCAGTCAAGCCTGATTGAGCAATGTTAAATTATGGGTAGCCCTGATCCATGAGGTTGGTGAGGTGTTTCATGGACAGGTTTCACCTACTTAGGCTGGTTTCCTCGTCATCAAAAAGAAGATTATGGTGTAGCAAACACCAACAGGGTCCCTGTCTAATGGATAAAAAGCCTCAAGGATGACTTATTCAATCTATTACTGAGTCAGGAATTCAACTAATTCAATTGATTCATTACATCTTGCTGGATTCTGAAGATGTATCAGGTAGAGGACATGACCATGCACCATTTAAATTGCCACCTCGGCAGGATTTTTCAATCAAGTCCCAATACTAGCAACCTGCATACTGTTAATATTTCGAATTTCTTTCACTACACGATTCCTTTGATGTCCATGCAGTGTTGAAACTACAAAATCTACTGGCAAGACAGTATTAAAACTGCCGATGGAGACCCATTCAAAGATCAGTGAATGCAGAACTAAGATGACTGACTAGTAACAATAATGGCAAATTATATCCCAATGGGCCAATTTTTGAAATCGGCACATGAAATGCACATCACAAACGAGGCAGATTATAAAACCAAATAATTCATTAAGATCAAAATCCAACAACTGGAAAATAGCATTTCCAATATATGAAATCATTCGCAGCATAACTCTCGCGGTTCTAACCTGCTTACCAAAAAATTATGATAGACAAAGGCTCTGGGTTCCCACGAGATCAACTCAACCCACTGCTCCCCTCGCCCTCGCTCTCGCTCTCCATCTCTTCCAAGTCCACTCCTGCATCACCATACAAGAACGCCAATTTGTCTCGTCAAAATAATTGCCACATCGCCAATCTCCAGCAGCAACATTCATATTGGATAGTCCGCAGCAAGTCCATTTTCACAACATAATGACCTGCCTCAACTTTGCATCTAGATAAAAAAATCCACATTTTCAGTCAATTTTACAGGGTACGCACTTTGCCTTTCATCTAGAACACATTCGCTAATGCCTCCTTCATCTATAACCGAGTCAAGCGAATTCTCAGCCAAACTTGACCAGAAAAATAGTGAATTTCCCTTCGAGTGCGAAATCGAACCGAACCGAAGTTTTCAAACATCGCGGCCAAACTACCTCTCCGCGCTGTTCCTCAAGATCGAGCTCAGATCGTTCGCCTTGGAGGAGCCGCCGGAGCCGCTCGGGAACCAGAACACGCCGAGCGCGAGGAGGATCAGCACGACGAGGCCGAACATCAGGAGCACGGCGCGGAGCAGCCGCGAGGAGGACGGCGGCTTCCGCTGCGGGAAGCGCGGGTGCCTCGGCTTCGCCATCCGCCGGACGATCCGGAGGGCCGGTCGGGCGATCGGAGACCCAAGACGGAGCGAGCGAGATCGAGAAGGGCGGGCGAAGGGAAGAGGAGGAGCTCCGAACGGCGAGAGACGACTGGCCGTGCGCTTCTCCTCCGTCGGAATGAGCCGACTCAGTAAAAGAGGCATTTTTATAATCTCAATTTATTATTAGTCAATTAAAAGTGATTCTTTAGACTAATCTGTAATTAGTACGTCTATATTTGAGAGAATAACATCTTCTTCTTCTTCTTTTGTTAGAAATTTGAGAAATTATCTAGGGTTAATATCACGAAAAACCCCGAACTGGTACATCCGTGACAAATTAACCACCAAAAATCCAAAACTGTTATACCTGTGACGAATTTACCCAAAACTAATTATTTGCTTACCAAAAACCCAAAACTAGTACTCCCGTAATGACCGCCAAAAACCCCGAATTGATACATTTGTAACAAATTTACCATTCGTTAAATTAGATTAATACCACGAAAAATCACAAATTGGTAAATCTGTGATAAATGGAGAGGTAAAACTTAAAATTTGTATACCCATCAATTGTCACGTGTCATCTAACTCGGCAATTTAACTGTAAAATTTAACAGAAACTAACGAAGGGTAAATTTATCATAAGTGTACCGGTTTTGAGTTTTTTGTGGTCAAAATATTAATTTGGGGTAAATTTATTACATGTGTACCGGTTTGGAGTTTTTGGTTGTCAAAAAATCAATTCGGAGTAAATTTGCTAGAGGTGTATCAGTTTTGGATTTTTCATGATATTAACCCAATTTGTTAGTTAATACATATGAATAGTTATTATAACAACAATAACAATAATAATGATGTAAATGTTCAGGGGTATATAAATGATGAGAAAATTTCTTTATTCCATCGTATGAATGTCTATAGATATAAAAGCCAAATAATGAGAATCACAGGGCAATTGCGGGTAAATATGCAATGATCAATTTATAATATGTAATAATATTATGATCACTGGATGAAGAGAAGAAGGTTTCTATTGTCGTTCTAATCTGTAACGATGCGATGATATGAGAGCTTAAATGTTCGTTCAATTAAAGAAGTAAAATTAATCACGCCTTTAATTGGACGAACATTTCAAAAGTTGATACCGCAATTAAAGGACGGGCTTTTATGTGGTGGTTCCGCAGTGGACTTGCAGCTGACACCAGCACCTCCCAAACGACGCCACGTGTCTATCGGTTTTCTCCTATTAACGCCGTTGCCCTTCCCCGCTGCCCTTTTTGCCTCTTTGTTCTAATTATTTTAAAGTTAATATCACGAGAAACTTTAAATTGATACATTTATAATAAATTTATTTTAAATTAATTTTTTGCTCGCAAAAAACTCCAAACTGGTACATTCGTGATAAATTTATCCTCTGTTAGTTTTCGTTAAATTTTACCGTCAAATTACTAAGTTAAATAACACGTAGCAGTTGACTGATGTACCAGTTTGGAGGGTTTTATCCTCAGTTTGTCATAGATGTACCAGTTTTGTAGTCTTTTGTGATATTAATCCAATTTAACGTAGGGTTAATTTGTTATAAATGTACCGGCTTGAGGTTTTTGATGGTCAAAAAATTAGTTTGGGGTAAATTTGTCATGGGTGTACCAGTTTAAGGCTTTTGGTGATCAAAAAATTAGTTCGGAGTAAATCTGTCAAATGTGAGGTTCTTCGTGATATTAATCTTTATTTCTATTAGGTCAATTGCCGATTTAAAAAAACACTGTACATATTGACCGTTAGATTCGACGAATAAGCTGGCATTAAATTTTAAAATGTAATTTATTTTACACAAGTTAACGACCGGTTATTTGCAGTAAATTACCTCACCTAACGGTTAGAAGATGTTCCCCGGATCTATTGGGTCAAAATGGAGAAGTTGTTTTGTCTCCACTGGACGACTTTGTATATTATTATCATTCTTATCCATATCGATCGATACGACATGGTCAAGATGGATTCTAGTTTTTATTTTTTCGTCCAGGCATGTCGTTTCGTCCCCGGCAGATCCGTGTTAATCTGAGGGGGCAAATCACAGTTCAGCTCGCAGCTTCTCAAATGCTGGCACTCTTGTTTCAAGGCTAACAGAAGTGCAGCTTTCTTCAGATGCAAAGAAAAGATCGACCCGGGAACAGCTACGCAGAACGGAATCCTCGACGCCTTTTCCGCGCGGCCTTTTCGGCGTTAGTTGCATTCTCATTATGCCGTTGTAGTTGAATTGGGGCGGCGGCACCCGTGTTAGGCTTCTGAGTTCACTGATCTGCCCTTTTTATTTGCTTTGTGAAAGGTTAGAATCTGCTTAGCACAAACACTTCCGGTCACGATTCCGATTCATGTCTTAATTGGTATTCATCATTCATGATGCTTAACTTTCTTGCCGATCGTATGAGCAGATGAATTAATTAGTCGTAGATTCGGAGAGATTGGTACAGTACGAAGTATGCTTGCGCTCCTCGTGATCTTGCGAACCACCAAAGGGAAGTTTCATTGACACTGACAAATGACTCTGTATACAAATGAAGATCAAATTGAAGATAATTTGCAGATGCTGGAGCTAATCAACACGATGCAAATCTGCAAGCACTCGACCTGAAGTCGAAACAGCATACGACTCGAATGAATTTCAAGCAATTAAACCAACCGAAAACCGAATGGCTACATGGATGCTAAAACACTCCGAGTGAAGTAGGATACAGCGGAACAGGCTTATACGAGAAACAGTTCGGAGTGTAGGAGGAAGTTCTTCTCGGGTGATCCATTGACTCGAGGGCCGGTTGGTTCAGGTACGCGTACTTGCTCTTCGTCCACCTGCGGATATGATACGCACGACACACATCAATGACAACTCGTGGCTTTAGATCCATCGATCCACTCGATTATGTCTATGAGACCATCTTTGCCAATCTTTTTTATCCAGAATTCATGAAGCAACTAAAGCCAGGTCCCAATGTTCTGAAGCAAAACATGCATCTAGGAAAAACCCTAGTCAAACCTTACCAGTCTTTTATTCCGATGCGCGCTTCTTTCTCGTCTTCGGCGTGGTTCTGCATGTTGTTGGAAACAGCCGCGTTGTTCTCCTCGACGTCGTCGTTTACATCTTCTAAAGACTCTACGAAACGCTTGTAGTCGTCCTCCTGAAGGCAACATATCTTAATTGAGTCCTGGATGTGTGAGAAACTACAGATGTTCGAAATTTTTGTGTTATCATAGGGCTAACTGTTTTAGGGGCATCCGCAAGATCGAGGAAGTGGCGCTCCCTATGCCACTTCACCCGAATTTTTGAGTACTCTTCGAAGATTATAGAATTATGACTCTATCGATCAGCCTGGTTGCCACCTCACATTAAATTATTGTACACAAGATGAAAACACCTCTCAAAAGTTTGTAATTTGAACTGCTCCAGAAGAAGGAACTAATGAACTGAGCTTTATAGGGTCACAAGGTTACAGCAAAATAGGAAGACAAAGATATTTGCATTGGCTGTGTCTTTGCGTGCTCAGATTTTGGCTCAGAGAATTCAATATGTAGAATGTTAGTCTTTGCAAATGTGTGTTTGATTGAACAATCTTGACGAAATTAGTGTGGATGGGTTTAAACTTCATCCTAAACCGTTTAAGGTCTACCGGCGAAAGGTTATACAGTATTTTCTTGCTTCACACGCCATCATTCGAGATGTTTCGAAGTAAACTCCGCTATGCTCTATAGAGATGGAGCTACATTAATTCTATATAAACCCTGATCATGTTTGCAGCTGATGGTTTTGATCTCACCGAGAGCTTCCGCGCCCTGACACGTGCCGCGGCCTTGATCGCCGCCAAGAGGTGATCCTCCTCTTTGATGCGCTTCTGCCTCCAGAAACTAGCAATCTCCCTGTTCGTCACGCTCGTCTCGGCGACCGCTCTCCTGGCCTGGAAATCTGGGAGCGGCGGCGGCGGCGGCGGCGGAGGAGGCGGTACCGTCCTCAAAGCCTGACAGTTTCGAGCCTCCACTTTGGCGTGCTTCATCCTCCGGGAGAGAACAAAAGAACCTCTGACAATTGTCCGCGAAGTCTTGCTCTATCCCCTGCCGCACACCAGCCTGCGCGTTGATTTGTAATCAAATCTGGGAACAATGCAACAAATAACGAGATCATTGAGGAAGGAGGCAAGTGAAGGACCAGGTCATAACTGCTGCTGTACCAACTCGTCCAGGGCTACCAATCCAACCTAACTTTCAGCACTGACCCACGACGTGTTCCTTTTTTCTCCTGGTTTTTGGCTCCAGTGAAATCTGATCGGTGTCTGCAATTGTCGACTGTGAAGAAATTGTCATCCTGGCTTGTGGTCTCTTGGCATTAGAGAGGCGGAGAATTCAGAACGGTTTTGACTGGTAGATGACAACTTCCTAGTTAGATTCACCACACTAACTGAATGATCCAAAATTGGAGATTCCAGGGACTTCCTATGTAGAGAACGATGGTTGAAGAACGACCCGTGCCTCGGGTTTTCTCCTTGGTTTTGGTGTACGTGGTCGGCGGTGGCCTGTTGGATTGATAAGTAGGCGATAAATTTAGTCTGATGCGTAAAAGTTGACTCGAAATTCGACCATATTGACATTGTCCCTTTTTTCTTTGATAAAGGGTAATAATCCCTTCTTGAGTTGAGTGCGAAGACGGAAGAAGAGATAGATCGCGCTTTCCTATATTATTGAGTGCAAAAACGGGTCTATGACCCATTTCTTAATCCATATATAACGGGTTGTGTTATTATATGGGTTAGTTATATTTAGTCAATAAATTATTTATATTTAGTAAATGTGTTATAAATGGGTTTAAAAATAATATGGGTGTTAATGGGTCATAAATGAGTTTACAGCTTACTTAAACCCAATTCATTTCTATGATTCTCTCTCACCCTCACTCGAACTCGCACTTGCTCACTCCACACTTTCATCTCGGTTTGGATACAAGTTTTCCTAAATTGGATTAACTATGAAAGTGTTTTAGCAATATAGGTCAGTTGGGTATGAGTCACTAGATTTACATTGCATGAAAATGGGTCAAAACGGATTAAATGGTACTATTTGGGATGGACCATTTTCGATCCGGCCCAAGCCCGACCCGACCCGCCCGGCCCATTTGATGGGTCTACCTATTATGGACACGCGACTCGAGTAAAGCTCGGTACAGTAAGGTTAGCTTACGAAACTATGTGATCGAATGCAAGGGATCATCTAAAGAAGCCAATCGTATAATCACCCAGCAAGAGCTTGTCATGTTGCACCAATTTGGTATGCTAGTCTGTAAAGTGCTAGCGTTTGTCCTCGTTGTATCATCGTCGGACCGTCGGTGGGCACTGCTCTATCGATGATGGGCTGACCTTGACTTTTGTTCACACACTTTAGGCCCATCTAACGGCCCAAGTTTCACGAAGCGGGCATGACTTGGCGTGATCCGACCCGACGGGTCACTCTCGCAATGCCCGGATCCGACCTTTTTTTTTTGTTGTAACAAGTGCGCTGCCTAAACTAACCCTGAAACACGACCAAAAAAAAAAAAAAAAAAACCACGAAATACGAGCGAAACTTTTAAAGATAACATATGCGAGGAGTACTATACAACTATGCTAAAATTCATACTTCTTCGAGTAAAAATTTCTAGGTTAATATCACGGAAAGCTCCAAATTTGTGCACATGTGACAAATTTATCAACAACTAATGTTTTGAAAAAAAAAAACTACGAATTGGTATATCTGTGACAAATTTGTCATCTGTTAGTTTCTGTTAAATTTTACCGTTAAATTTTCAAGTTAGATGACACGCGGCAATTAACAAGTGTACTGGTTTGGGGGTTTACCTTTAATTTGTTACAGGTATACCGATTTGTGATTTTTCGCGGTATTAATCAAATTTAACGGAAATCGACAGAGGGTAAGTTTGTCACAAATATACTCGTTAGAGTTTTTGGTAGTCAAAAAATTAATTCGGGGTAAATTTATCACAGATATACCAATTTCGAATTTTCCGATCCATTAATCCAAGTTTCTAAACAAAAAAAAAATTACTAACTGGTCATAGGAATTCTTTCTTCTTCGGGCACGACGTCGTATTATAAGTCGAAAGTTTCGTGAGGGCCGACACTTGATAAGTAGCGCTAAACCGGCTCGATCTCCGGTTGCGTAAACCCAAGTGCCAAACAGACCCAGGTCAGCATTGTACCAGGACAGGGATTGCGTAAACCCCAGTGCCAAACAGACCCGTGTTGACTAGGGCGGCTGAGCCCCAGGTCCTCCCCCATCTTCCTCTATAAATACCTCCTCAGGCCCCTCGATTCAGATTTCTTCACGGACTCTCTCTCTCTGCGCAAGGAGAGGGTTTCCTCCGATCTGAGCGCCTCCGTTGCGGCTGCTGCGGTATCTTCTTCTTCGAACTGCAACCGCCAAAAATTTGAAAAAGAAAAAGGAAAGATCAACCGTGAAGAACTAATCGGAACTCGAATCGTTACTCAATTTGGACGACTGTAAGGAAAAAACCCTAGGCGGTCCGGCGGTTCGCGCGCGGCGGAGTCGGATCGGCCGCCATGGATATCCGGTTCCCCTTCTCGCCGGCGGAGGTCGCCAAGGTCCGGATGGTCCAGTTCGGCATCCTCAGCCCCGACGAGATCGTAATCTCCCTCTCCCTCTCCCTCTCCTCCAACTTTCTCCGCTGCGATTTTCGTTGCCGTTCGTTTTTCCGGGAGGGGGGAAATTGGAATCGTAGCTCGGAAAATAGCGATGTTAGTCACCGAGTGGCGATGATGATCGAGCTAGTGATTTTGAGAGGTTGTGGTGTTGAGTTCGGAAATTGGAGGAGGGACTGCGGTTCTATGTGCTGATTGAGCTGCTGTTGTTGCTTTTTTGTGAGGTTATGATGTCCGCGGTTATGGTTTTGGGGGTTTCTGTGCGTGCTCTGATCGTGCTGTTTTGTGCAGAGGCAAATGTCCGTGGTGCAGATTGAGCACGGCGAGACGACGGAGAGGGGCAAGCCGAAGATTGCCGGGCTCAGCGATCCTCGACTCGGCACCATCGACAGGAAATTGAAGTGCGAGACGTGCACGGCGAACATGGCCGAGTGCCCCGGGCACTTTGGGCACCTGGAGCTGGCGAAGCCGATGTTTCATATTGGGTTCATGAAGACCGTGTTGAGCATCATGCGCTGCGTCTGCTTCAATTGCTCCAAAATACTCACGGATGAGGTACTTGGGAGACTTATTAAGCGCATGCTCTTTTTACGAAACATCTGTGGATCCAAACAGAATTGGTGGAATGCTACTAGGCAATCCGAAACCTACTTTTATTTTCTTGAGATTTGTAGGGATTAGACTTGCAAGGGGAAATGTTCAAGTTCCCGAAGTTTCAATGCTGAAATTCCAATTACAATTTGTTCTTTTTTTTTTTCCAATTGATCTGTTGCAGAAACTATTTCTCGACATGGAAATAACTCTATGTGTATGTAAGAATTAGCTGAGGAGCTTTCTTTTCTTTTGAACCTTTGAACAGGACTTAGCCTTCTTGATGTAGAACTCTCAGTTTGTTTCTATAGCTGATACTGCATAATTTTATTTGAAGGCCTAATTGGACATACTTGACTCTGACATCACAAAGATGAGGCGGCAATTCATTGTTCCTTTTGAGTGTTAAAATTTGACTCTTCCCAGATATGATCTGGTGCAAAACCGATTCTTGTGAATGTTGAAGCTGCGACATTGTGGATTTTAGGGAGACTTTCGAACAAATCAGGGTGGATTTATATTTATAGATGAATGTTGCTTTTACACCACTCTTGATACCAATTTAATGTTGTCTTAAACATATGAACCTATAGAAAATACAAGCTTATGTCATGGTAATAGGTGCTTACCTTTTGGACTTCTTGCAGGAAGACCACAAGTTCAAACAGGCGCTTCGAATAAGAAATCCTAAAAATAAGCTTAAGAAGATACTAGATGCGTGTAAAAACAAATCAAAATGTGAAGGTGGAGATGAGATTGATGTACAAGGTCAAGGCTCAGAAGAGCCGGTGAAGAAGAGTCGTGGGGGCTGTGGTGCCCAGCAGCCAAAGCTTACAATTGAAGGAATGAAAATGATAGCGGAGTATAAGGCCCAGCGGAAGAAAAACGATGATCAGGATCAGCTTCCTGAACCGGTGGAAAGGAAGCAGACACTTTCTGCTGAAAGGGTAATTTTTTCATTTGCATAAACAGAACTAATTTTTTCTCTTACTTCGACAAGCTTTTAAAGACTGTTAATATGAAAATTAGGTACTCAGCGTTCTCAAGAGAATTAGTGATGAAGACTGTCAGCTGTTAGGCTTGAACCCGAAATATGCTCGTCCAGATTGGATGATTTTACAAGTTCTACCTATTCCTCCGCCTCCTGTGAGGCCCTCTGTGATGATGGACACCTCTTCCAGGAGTGAGGCAAGCATTTCTTCGTCGTCTTTCTGGCTTTCGTATATAGAATTATCTAATGTTTTGCTTTCTTTCTTTTCTGGATTTTTTCTTGGAATCAACTTGATGAATTTAGCTCTTATGCAAACGAGATATATACTTACATCTTTCCCATTTTTGTATACAGGATGATCTGACGCATCAATTGGCAATGATTATAAGACATAATGAGAATCTAAGGCAACAGGAGAGGAATGGTGCACCAGCACATATCATATCGGAGTTTGCACAGTTGTTGCAATTCCACATCGCTACATACTTTGACAACGAATTGCCTGGACAGCCAAGGGTCTGCTGACTCTTTTAAGCTATCTGTCGAATTTGTAGATGGAAATAATTTCGTCTTTTATGCTGTATGATGCCTCAAGCGTCAAAGTTACTTATGCATGCATTTCTTCTATTACTTCTCAGGCTACCCAAAGGTCTGGGAGACCTATTAAGTCGATCTGCAGCAGGCTTAAGGCAAAGGAAGGCCGGATTAGAGGGAATCTCATGGGAAAAAGAGTCGACTTTTCTGCTCGAACAGTCATTACACCTGATCCAACTATTAATATTGATGAACTAGGCGTCCCTTGGAGTATTGCCTTGAATCTTACATATCCAGAAACCGTGACTCCTTATAACATTGAGAGGTTCATAAACTTAGCTGTTCTTCTTCTTCTTCTTCTTCTTCTTCTCCTTCTATATCGACTTCTTTGTTATCTTAAAACAGGTTGAAGGAGCTTGTTGAATATGGGCCTCATCCGCCACCTGGTAAAACTGGGGCTAAATATATTATAAGGGATGATGGACAGAGACTTGATCTCCGCTATTTGAAGAAAAGTAGCGATCATCATTTGGAACTAGGCTACAAGGCATCCTCCCTCATCCTTGATCTTTTTCATGGTTTTTGTTTTTGATAAGTAAGAAGGATTTTGCAATTTAAACAGCTTATCCAACTTGAAATACTCTTTTGCAGGTGGAGCGACACTTGAATGATGGAGACTTTGTGTTGTTCAATCGCCAGCCTAGTCTTCATAAAATGTCTATAATGGGTCACAGAATCAAAATCATGCCATACTCGACTTTCCGTCTAAATTTATCTGTAACTTCACCATACAATGCTGATTTTGATGGAGATGAAATGAACATGCACGTGCCTCAGTCTTTTGAAACCAGAGCAGAAGTTTTGGAGCTGATGATGGTGCCTAAGTGTATTGTTTCGCCTCAATCTAATAGACCAGTGATGGGAATTGTCCAGGATACACTCCTAGGTTGTCGTAAAATCACAAAGAGGGATACTTTTATTGAGAAGGTGATTCTGCAGGATGCCTCGTGATAGTTTTGCAAATTTATCATTATTGTTTTTTTTCTGTTTGAGTTTTGACTTTGGAACTCCTTGGCCTTTTTTTTTTCTCACAGGATGTTTTTATGAATGTCTTGATGTGGTGGGAGGATTTTGATGGGAAAGTTCCCACTCCTGCAATTTTGAAGCCCAGGCCTCTTTGGACAGGAAAGCAAGTGTTCAATCTCATCATACCCAAGCAGATCAATCTCCTGAGAAATGCCGCATGGCACTCAGAGACTGAAACAGGATTTATAACTCCAGGAGATACCCAAGTTCGAATTGAGAAGGGGGAGTTACTTGCGGGAACTCTTTGCAAGAAGGCACTTGGGACATCTACGGGAAGTCTCATACATGTCATCTGGTACAAACACTCAACTTTTGTTTCAGCTGGATGATTTATTGGCAGATGAATTCTCTTTGAAAATTTCTACTTGCGTGAAAACTTTTGGAACTTGGATTTGCTATAACATTTGTGTTCAGGATACTCAAATTCCTTCTTCCTGTCCACAGTAGAACTTCTTTGAAGACTCGGGCGGCTACTTCTTTAGTATTGATTGTAGTATTTGTCTGTACAGGGAAGAGGTTGGCCCGGATGCAGCCCGGAAATTCTTGGGACATACTCAGTGGCTTGTCAACTATTGGCTTTTGCAGAATGGCTTCAGCATTGGTATTGGAGACACAATCGCTGATGCAGCAACAATGGAAAAAATTAATGAGACCATTTCTTCAGCTAAAGATGAAGTGAAAAGGCTTATAAAAGATGCTCAGGAGAAAAAGTTAGAGCCTGAACCCGGACGAACGATGATGGAATCCTTTGAAAACAAAGTGAATCAGGTCTGCATATTTTTCCCCTGCCCACATTCTTCTCTTTTTAGGCTCTATAAATCAAACAATGACATGCTTGTGATCTTTCAGGTGTTGAACAAGGCTCGTGATGATGCTGGAAGTAGTGCCCAAAAGAGTTTATCTGAGAGTAACAATCTCAAAGCAATGGTTACTGCTGGATCTAAGGGAAGTTTTATCAATATTTCTCAGATGACTGCTTGTGTTGGTCAGCAGAATGTTGAGGGTAAGCGGATCCCATTTGGATTCATAGATCGAACCCTGCCCCATTTCACAAAAGATGATTATGGGCCAGAAAGTCGTGGATTTGTCGAGAACTCCTATCTTCGTGGGTTGACTCCACAGGAGTTCTTTTTCCATGCTATGGGTGGTAGGGAAGGTCTGATTGATACTGCTGTCAAGACTTCTGAGACTGGATATATCCAGAGGCGATTAGTGAAGGCTATGGAGGATATTATGGTCAAATATGATGGAACAGTTAGGAACTCTTTGGGAGATGTTATACAGTTTTTGTATGGTGAAGATGGTATGGATTCTGTCTGGATTGAATCGCAGAAACTGGATTCTTTGAAAATGAAGAAGTCAGAATTTGATAGAGTTTTCAGATATGAGATAGATGATGAGAACTGGAACCCTGATTACATGTTGCCTGAAAACGCTGAGGATCTGAGATCGATTGGAGAATTGAGAGATGTCTTTGATGCTGAAGTTCAAAAACTTGAAGCTGATAGATTCCAGCTTGGAACAGAGATTGCAACTACAGGTGATAATACTTGGCCATTACCTGTCAACCTCAAGAGGCTTATTTGGAATGCCCAGAAGACTTTTAAAATCGACTTAAGGAGGCCTTCGGATATTCACCCCGTGGAGGTTGTGGAGGCTATCGATAAGCTTCAAGAGAGGCTTAAGGTTGTTCCCGGTGAGGATCCGTTGAGTGTTGAAGCTCAAAAGAATGCAACTCTCTTTTTCAATATCTTACTTCGCAGCACTTTTGCCAGCAAGAGAGTGTTGAAGGAGTATAGGCTTACTCGTGAAGCTTTTGACTGGGTGATTGGTGAGATTGAATCGCGTTTCTTGCAATCATTAGTGGCTCCAGGGGAAATGATTGGTTGTGTTGCTGCACAATCTATTGGTGAGCCTGCCACTCAGATGACTCTCAATACCTTCCACTATGCTGGTGTGAGTGCGAAGAACGTCACTCTTGGTGTTCCTAGGTTGAGAGAAATCATTAACGTTGCCAAAAAAATCAAGACGCCCTCCCTCTCTGTCTATCTGAAACCTGAGGTAAGCAAGACAAAGGAAAGTGCCAAGAGTGTTCAATGTGCTTTGGAGTACACTACTCTCCGCAGTGTAACTCAAGCCACTGAAGTATGGTATGATCCAGACCCTACGAGCACATTGATTGACGAGGATGTTGATTTTGTCAAATCTTACTATGAAATGCCGGATGAAGAGATCGCCCCTGAAAAGATTTCTCCTTGGTTGCTTCGGATAGAGTTGAATCGGGAAATGATGGTGGATAAGAAGCTCAGCATGGCTGATATTGCGGGGAAGATCAATCTGGAGTTTGATGATGATTTGAACTGTATATTCAATGATGACAATGCCGATAAGCTCATTCTTCGCATTCGTATCATGAATGATGAAGCTCCGAAAGGGGAGCTCAATGATGAATCTGCAGAAGATGATGTCTTCTTGAAGAAGATTGAGAGCAACATGCTCACAGAAATGGCTCTTCGAGGGATCCCAGATATTAACAAGGTGTTTATCAAGAATGGCAAAGTAAACAAATTCAATGAGAATGATGGCTTCAAGCCAGAAACTGAGTGGATGTTAGATACTGAAGGCGTTAACCTATTAGCTGTCATGTGTCATGAAGGAGTTGATGCCACTAGGACAACGAGCAATCATCTAATAGAAATCATTGAAGTTCTTGGTATTGAGGCAGTTCGGCGCTCCTTACTGGATGAACTGCGTGTTGTCATATCATTTGATGGATCTTATGTGAACTATCGGCATTTGGCTATTTTGTGTGATACCATGACATATCGAGGCCACTTGATGGCCATTACACGTCATGGCATCAATCGGAATGATACTGGGCCACTGATGAGATGCTCATTTGAAGAAACTGTGGACATTCTTCTTGATGCTGCTGTCTATGCCGAATCAGATTATCTGAGGGGTGTTACGGAGAACATTATGTTGGGTCAGCTTGCACCCATTGGCACAGGAGACTGTGCATTGTACCTCAATGATGAGATGTTGAAGCATGCCATCGAACTTCAGCTGCCCAGTTATATGGATGGTCTTGATTTTGGCATGACGCCTGCACGTTCACCAATCTCTGGAACTCCTTACCATGAGGGTATGATGTCTCCAAGTTATTTGCTGAGCCCAAACCTCCGGCTCTCTCCAACTACAGATGCTCAGTTTTCTCCCTATGTTGGTGGTATGGCCTTCTCGCCTGCTTCATCTCCGGGATACAGTCCATCATCACCAGGATACAGTCCATCATCACCAGGATACAGCCCGACGTCACCTGGTTACAGCCCCACGTCACCTGGTTACAGCCCCACATCTCCTGGCTACAGCCCCACGTCTCCAACCTACAGTCCCAGTTCTCCTGGTTATAGCCCAACTAGTCCTGCGTATTCTCCTACAAGCCCTTCATATTCACCCACTTCTCCCAGCTATAGCCCCACTTCCCCATCTTATAGCCCTACTTCCCCATCTTATAGCCCTACATCTCCCAGCTACAGCCCCACTTCGCCAAGTTACAGCCCTACGTCACCTAGTTATAGTCCAACCTCTCCTGTTTATAGCCCCACATCACCTGCGTATAGCCCCACCTCCCCTGCATACAGCCCCACCTCACCATCTTATAGCCCAACATCTCCTTCATACAGCCCAACTTCACCATCCTACAGCCCAACTTCACCTTCTTACAGTCCTACATCTCCTTCCTACAGCCCAACTTCGCCCGCTTATAGCCCCACTTCTCCTGGTTACAGCCCAACATCACCAAGTTACAGCCCAACTTCACCGAGCTACAGCCCTACTTCTCCGAGTTATAACCCTCAGTCGGCAAAATACAGCCCATCATTGGCGTACTCGCCAAGCAGTCCAAGATTGTCACCATCCAGTCCTTACAGTCCTACATCTCCAAACTACAGGTAAACTGTGTTGGCATGCATGCCGGAGAAGCTTTCCTCTGATTTCATTTCAATTTTTTGCATGTTTTCCACATATTATCATTGTGCCTTTCCTGAAGTCGTATCAGTTGAGCTATTCTTTGTTAAGGCAGGATTTATGTTTAGTATGATTGGATATGTCTGTTTTATTGCAGCCCCACATCGCCGTCGTACTCACCGACTTCTCCGTCATATTCTCCATCAAGCCCAACATACAGTCCTAGCAGGTAATGGTTTATCTTCAGTCTTTGGGACATCATCAAGTAGTAATATCAGGACATGGCATTCTGTCTGCTTTCAATGTGACAGTCAAATTGTCTGACATTGTGTACTCCTGCCGAAAATTAAATGTTATTTAGTCCAATTCAATTTGTCTGCCATGCTTATCTGATGCTACTGTCGAGTTCTCTTTCCCAAAAGAGTTTGGTTGAGTAGGCACATGCATAGTTCATGCACCATTGTCTAATGTGTCAACTAATTGGTTTTTTTTCTTCAGCCCATACAATCCTGGTGTCAGCCCAGATTACAGCCCGAGTTCTCCTCAGTACAGGTGAGTTTACCAGCGTAGGGTGCTGGCTCAGGAGCTCTTAATGGCAAGAAAAAATAAAACTTACTGAGTACTTGGGTGTTGCAAAATGTGGATTGCACGTGGTTCCTAATTAGATTAAATCTTTGACTAATATGCAGCCCGAGTGCTGGATATTCTCCAAGTGCACCTGGATACTCGCCGACTTCTACCAGCCAGTACACTCCGAGCAACAAGGATGACAGGAGTAAGAAGGATGACAGGAGCAGTCGCTGATGCAAACTATTGCTAGGAAGCTCGAAATAGGTGATGTTTATTTCCTTAACACAAATGAGGTTTGCAAGGATTTGTCATATGCGGTGGCTTTTAGTTTCCTTTTTTCTTTATCTTGTTTCCCGTGACATACTTTTGGAAGTTAATAAGCTGGCATATCCATTACTTTTGGAAGTTGATAAGCTGGCATATCCATTTGCAAAATATTATCTCAAAAAGACTTAAAAAGAAATGCGAAGAATTTCCGACTTATTAGTAGGTATATTTTTCCAAAGCTGATAACACTCTCTGTTATTCAATCGATCTGGCAGGTGGGGTCTGAACCTTAAATGGAGAAAGCATCTAGTCGTTGAATTTTGATGACGAAGTGGATATTGTTGACAGTGAAAACCTTTTTTGGTTCCATCAGCTATACGTTGCGGCAATATGTATATGTAATTGCATGGATTGTGAGTCCAAAGGAATAGGACGTTTGTCAAAATGGACAATACTATTTCGCTCCTCGTTAGACTCTTTCACCGTTGAGAGTTTGTATTACAAGAAGAGAACAGCATCGAGTTCAGTACTATTACTTGGTTGTCGTATTGAATGACAGAATGTCTTCTTGCAATATTGAGTGCGCCAAGCAATCATCGTGTTGACTCGGTTTTCTGTTATTGCCATAGAAAATAAAGAACCACGAGGCTTCAGTTTAGTGGCGTATCAATTTTGATGCAACCTGACAATTGTAAGATTCTGTTTTTTTAACCTCAGAACCTGATGATCAACGAGAAACTGTATCTTCTATCATTGCCATTTGTTCAGAAAGTGCCAGCTTGCTTATAGCAGAGATACGGAAGCTTTATGTCTTTTGTTGAGATTATCTGGTTACAACGTTTGTGAAGAATTTTGTCAATTTAGCTGCCACAACAAAGTGAAACTCGGGAAAATTTTCGAAAGAACCTTCGTCAAATGGGATGATTTTTTCGAAAGAGCTTTAGAGGCGGTGTTTGTTTCAAAGTAATCTGTGATTATCGGGATGACACCTTAAATCCGTTGGGCGTGTGAGGCTTTGTGATGTAAATCGGCTTAACCTTCTAAAAAAAATCCCCAATTTTAGGTTAATTCCAATTTTGCCTCTAATTTTTTTATAAAAAAAAATCACCAACTTTACCTTTCTGCATGGACGACCGCGCAAGAACAAACAAAAACGAGCTGAGTTTAGCATACTTCAGGTCTTCTTTTGAGATATTATAGAATGGACCTTAATTAGGTCTCCCCTAGCAATCCAAGAAGGTCCAGTTCCGGTCAGAAAGGTGAAATGGAGCTTTGCCTTCATTCTCTGTCAAAGAAACAGACGGAGACACAACTTAAGAACTTGTTTAACTCGATAAAGTGAAGAGAATCAGTTCATGGGGATAAGATAATGAGATTCTACCTCTATAAGATGCCCCCGTCCCATCATCTTTGGTTTCTTCAAAATTGTTAACATAAGAAGAAACAGTTATTTCATGCGAAAGTGATGGTATTGGTGAAGATGTAAGTTCCGATAATGAATGTCTAATTGGCCATGATGTTGATAATTTTGAAGAAATTAGTGGCAATTTTTGGACGTGGGCCAGATTTTGAGACTAGACTGAAAGTTGGTGATTTTTTAAGACAAAAAAAAGTTCAGGGCGAGACTGGTATTAGATCTAAATTTGTGGGGTTTCTTTAAAGGAAACTAGGCCGATGTTATTAATAATAATATTCATTTCTAAATGATCAATCGCTTTGATAGTGCTTCGAATATCCTTTTTAGAACCTCGACTCACGTAAAATCGGCTGGGTCCTTAGAAGAGTTTCTATACGACGTTAGAGCGTGAGATTTCAGAAGAAAGGAAAGGGCACGCGATGCCCAGAAGAATTGGAGGAAGACTTTGTCAAAAGGGGACGAGAGTACTCTAGTTGCCCTTTTCTTTCGGAAGGTGTTCACAACCTTTTCATCCACAGCACGATTCAAATGCGGGTTATGGTGTCAATTTTTAAATGATCACCACCTTGCCTTGCGACAGTACTTTGAATATCCCTTTCAAAATCTCAACTCACGTAGAACGAGTCGGGTTCGTTAATTGCATAAAAAGGGTTTCCGTAGTTTTGAGACTTCTTCAGAGGAGAGGAAAGTAAAAAAGGGGGGTATGCAATGTGCAGAAGAAGTGGAGAAAGAATTTGTCAAGAGAGTCGCTGTATTCGCTTTTCTTTTCAACCTTTTCATCCATATCACGATTCAGTGCGGGTCATAGCGATCGTCCTCTCTTACTATCCCGTCACGAAGGTGCTCTCTCTTTGGAGTGCTTGGGGAAATTGAAAGTGACATTAGAATCGTCAATCGTCGTGGCCCTTATGCAACTCCCACGCTCTCCCTCTACGCACCATAAAATGGGCGCATGCGCGTCGCTTCAACTGCCTGCCCCACCACGCCTATGTCGCCTTTTGGCCTTATCCCACTCCTGAAAGGGGTAAGACTTACTTTCGCCTCCGTGAAAAGTCTCGTTCGTTTTACGGAAAATTTTTCAGGGATCGTGGTCATGATGTTGATAATTTTAAAAATATCAGTAGCGATTTTTAATTTGGGACTAAAGCGAAAATTAGTGATTTATTTAATGAAAAAAAAGTTTGGGATAGTATCGAGATTGAATCTAAAGTTAGGAATTTTTTTTTTAGGAAACGAGGCCGATGTTATCAATAGTATGATCCATCTCTAAAATGATCATCACCTCGTGATAGTATTTCGAATATTCTTTTTAGAACCCCGACTCTCGAGAGATAGGCTCGGTCCTTAAAAGGGTTTCAATACGAGGTTTGAGCTTTGAAGATTTTAGAAGAAAGGAAAGGGCATGCAATATCTAGGAGAATAGGAGGAAGAATTTGTCAAAAGGGGAGGCGAGTACTGTAATTGCTTTTTTTCTTTCGGAAGGTGTTCACAACCTTTTCATCCATAGTACGATTCAATGCGGGTTATAGTGTCATTTTTAAAGATCCCTTTTAAAATCTCAACTCACGTGAAACGGGTTGGGTCGTTAATCGCACAATTAGAAGGAGGGTTTTTCGTAGTCTTGAGACTTTAGAGGAAAGAAAGAGGAAAGAAAAAAGGGGCGTGCAATGTCAAGAAGGATCGGACCGGTCCAAAGAGCCAGTGCCTTCACTTTTCCTTTCGGGAAGGTGTCCCACGACCTTTTTCATACCTCGTCCGATTCGATGTGGGTCATGCTGTCCTCGTTTTTACTATCCCCGTCGGGGAAATCGAAAGCGACATCGCAATCGTGGATCGTCGCGGCCTCTTTGCAGCCGCACGCTCTCCCTCTACGCACCATGAATGGGCGCCCACACGCGCCGCTTCAACTACCTGCCCCGCGACGCCTAAGTCGCCTTTTGGCACTTATCCACTCCCAAAGGGTAAAAACTTACTTTTTCGTCTTTCGTTTCACGGCAGAAAATTTAGAGATCGCCGATTTTTTGCTCCCGCCGGTGCTTATTACTATCGCCGGCCGCGTGGTATCTTAGTTTTTTGGGAGGCTGCACTAGAGATCCGGTGTCGGGGCCGAGCGGTCTCGGGACAAGCCCCCGCGATCCTCTACCGAGTCCCAGACCTGGGCTTAAGAGACCCGATCGGAGAGAACCCGTAACGGGCAAGGCGCGATGTGATTGGATCGGCCAATCGTCATTGTCCGAGCTGAGGACGAATTTCCATCTTTTTTTTTTTTTTAACTCGAAAAAAGCGGCTTAAAAACCGTTTCGTAACTTTCAGACGCCGGAAATCAACCTCCCCATCCACCCACCACACCACCACAGCACCACCACCACCACCACCACCACGTACGCAGTGTCCCTCTGCCTCTGCCTCTGCCTCTGCCTCTCTCTTTCTGTAATTTCTGCAACATTCCCGCATCGTCGACTGGGGAGATTCACCCACCATCGCTCGCTTCTTCTTCTTCTTCTTCTTCTTCTTCCTCCTCCTCCTCCTACTCTCGCCGCCAAATACCTTCCTCTCCCCTCTCACTCTCCCCGCACTGCCAACAACGTGCCGACATGCCTTGCTCCCTCTTCTTCCTCAAGTGACGAACGCACTTCCCTCCCTCTCTCTCTCTCTCTCTCTCTCTCCACCACCGACCGACTCTCCCCTCCTCTGTATAACGAACACCCACCCACCATCTCTTTCTCTCCTTCCCTCCCTCCCTCCCCTCCGCATCTACCGCGCCGTGTCCCCCCCCCGTCGTCTTCCGGCCCCTCCCCGCCATGGCGGGCTCGCCTCCAGATCAGCCCGTCTACCTCCACGGCGACCTCGACCTCCGCATCGTCTCCGCCTCCAACCTCCCCAACATGGACATCGTCTCCGAGCGCCTCCGCCTCTGCTTCTCCGCCTGCGCCTCCCCCTCCGCCGACGGCCCTCACCCACCACGCCGCGGCGGCGGCGGCGGGGGGAAGATCATCACCTCCGACCCCTACGTCACCGTCAGCGTCCCCCAGGCCACCGTCGCCCGCACCCGCGTCCTCCGCAACTCGCAGAACCCCAGGTGGGACCAGGGGTTCCGCGTCGCCCTGGCGCACCCCGTCGTCGACTTGGAGTTCCGGGTGAAGGACGACGACGTCTTCGGCGCGCAGGTGATCGGCATTGTCAAGATCCCGGCGCGGGACATCGCGGCTGGCGAGGTCATCTCCCGTTCGTTCCCGCTGAGTGGGCCCGCGGTGAAGCCGGATTCCGCCCTCCAGCTCGAGCTGAAGTTCACGCCCGTGGAGAAGAACCCGGTGTACCGGTTCGGCATTGCCGGCGATCCGGAGCATCAGGGAGTGAGGCAGACTTATTTCCCCTTGAGAAAAGGGAGTGGCGTCACGCTGTATCAGGACGCCCATGGGGTCGATGGGTTGTTGCCCAATATCGAGTTGGATAGCGACGCCGGAGGCGTTTATAGGCACGGGAAGTGTTGGGAGGATATCTGTCACGCCATAACCGAGGCTCACCATTTGATATACATCGTTGGGTGGTCGGTTTTTCATAAAGTTAAGCTCATTAGAGAGCCTACCCATACCCGGGCATTGCCGCGCGGCGGGGACTTGACGCTCGGCGAATTGCTCAAGTATAAGTCAGAAGAGGGGGTGCGCGTTTTGCTGTTGATTTGGGATGATAAGACTTCGCACGACAAGTATTTTATTAACACGGTGAGAAGTTGCTTTATTTTAGTTGGCTTGCCCTTGATCACATGCTTCCGTCTGATTAGTTTAGTAAATTAAGGTGGCTTATGGCATCACCGATTACTATATTGTTGTTGGTTCTGTTGCCCAGGCTCTTATAGTGGTTTAGTGTATTAGTCGTGAGGACCCCTTGTCTAGTGGAGGAATTAGGTGATATTGTCTCTGTCTTTGCTTGCGATATTTGTCTCTACCAATGAATAAGGGTGAACGAGGGGCATTTCTTGCAGGGAGGGGTGATGCAGACGCATGATGAAGAAACTCGAAAGTTTTTCAAGCATTCATCGGTGAACTGCGTGCTGGCCCCGCGTTATGCTAGCAGTAAGCTTGGCTATATAAAACAGCAGGTATGCTTTTCCTTTAATTCTCGCAGTTTCGCCACATGGACCATGTATCAGAATCTAGAAATTAGCACAAGCATCGGACAGCAAGGGTCTCTTTGTCATTCGCCTTATTGTCATAACATCTTTCGCATATATGAGCTACATGGCATTAGGACGTATCGTTCCTGCCTCATGTTTCTAGGCAATTAGCTGCCTAGCATATTTGTAGTTGGAGATGTGTGTTGTGGAATTTTCTATGACGTTGCTAGGGCGATTTGGCACTGGAGATGTATGTTCTTCGTAAAGTTACTAATGGACTCTTTCCAGCTCTTTAACTTAGTCCATTCGTAAAGATAATGTTCCTTTTCATATAAGTGAAGTTGAACTCTCATTTAGGAAGTTTCCCTGCATTTTTGAGCTATCATGAAGAAAAATCTACTTTTTGAGGAAGATTCTGTGCAGTGCATAATCCTCATTCGTTAACCTGGGATGATTCTCTTAAGGGATAAGGTTTGCTTTGTATTCTACGTTCATTTTATTTAAGCATGGCGGCATGACTCTGGTGAATAATCTTGGGAGAAGGGATGGACCTTATCCTCTTGCTTGCTTGAGTTCCTTATGTGATGTAGTGGTAATTCTGATAATCTAAATAATTCTTACAAGTTTGGTGAATTATGTTTTTCTCCAGGTTGTTGGAACCATGTTCACACACCATCAAAAATGCGTCCTGGTGGACACACAGGCGTGGGGTAATAACCGAAAAATAACTGCATTTATAGGAGGAATTGATCTCTGTGACGGTCGATATGATACACCTGAGCATCGGCTATTTCGCGATCTTGACACTGTTTTTAAGGATGACTTTCACAATCCTACATTTCCTGTGAGTTATTTGTCTATATATGATATATTTGAGCACTCGCTGCCTAGTAGTTATTTGCTAGTTAAGTACTCTTGCGTTTACTGTCTTCTAATGTAGGTCAAATTTTGGACTTTGGAGTGATAGAAGTCTTTTGAGCCTGTTTCTTTCAACTTTCAACTCTGAGAACCGCTATACCATCTCCATAATAACAGTCCTCCTATTTCTGGTTAAGTACATCAGATGAATTATGATCAAAACTGTGATGATAGCATTCTAGAAAATTTTAAGACTTAAAAGGACTCTTACTGTTTTTTATGAGAATCCATGAAGAACTGGTCCAGTTGATAAGCAAGATGCAATGAGGATGAATTGATAAAATCCCAATCTGCGAACTTGAAGGGGGTGATTTTCTTGTTTCAGAATTTACTGCCACGGTTGCACATTGGAAGTGGATTGGATGTTATTAAGATCTAGGGAAGATTCATGCCTATGTTTAATGACTTGCTTTAAAATATTGGATTATCGGAGTGGCTGCATATTCGAGTCTAGTTCTCAGATTTGTCATGATACAAGCGAGTTCTTTTATCAATTCATTCTTAATTTGTTGCATGGAGGTGTATAAAATTAAATGACCCATATATATTCGGCTTAAGGACGTTTTTTGTACATGTTGAGCCAAGCCATTAAATTTTCTTTAAGCTAGAAAGGTTGTGCTTATTTCTATGCTATTTCTTTTCAGTTTTAGGTCTTGCGACGTGTAGGATCTTGGACTTTGGTACCTGTTACCATGCACTGGTAGTTGCTACACAACTTGGTATTATCTATTGATTTTCTTCCAGTGAGTGTCTTTACTTTGTATCTGTCAGGCTGGAATGAAAGCTCCGAGACAACCATGGCATGACTTGCACTGCCGGATTGAAGGTCCTGCTGCATATGACGTACTGGTAAACTTCGAGCAACGTTGGAGGAAAGCAACAAGATGGAAAGAATTCAGTCTATTTTTCAAAGGAAAAACACACTGGCATGATGATTCCTTAATTAAGATAGGTCGTATCTCTTGGATACTGAGTCCTACATCGACTGATTCGTATGATAGCACTACATCTCTTTCAAAGGAGGACCCTGGTGAGAGTATGACGGAATTGCCTAAGGACAATCCCGATCTCTATGTCTCTGAAGAAGATGATCCTAATAACTGGCATGTTCAGGTTGGAAATGCAAGTTACGTGTCGTATGTTCAGTTTACCTTTCTTTTATTTAGCCCTTTTGCTTTGTGTTTGCTTGTGCAGATTTTCCGGTCTATTGACTCTGGATCAGTCAAAGGATTTCCCACAAAAAGGAAAGATGTTGCTGAAAAGCAGGTCTACATGAGATCTATGTTTCTGTTTTCATTTCTTACCTACTTTTCTTCCCTGTTTGCTTTTGTTTAGTTGAATGAAAAGCGAAAAGGGAGAAAAAAATCATATTGATGGACTTGGGCTGGAGTAGGAATCTCTGTCCCGTTAAAACATATTCTCCTCTTTCTAATTGACATCATTGTACTGGAAAGTTTTTTTGATGAATATGTGCATCCTCTTAATTATTGGCATTTTTTGGTGCAGAATCTTTTAGTTACAAAAGATGTAGTAGTAGACAGAAGCATTCAGACAGCTTACATTCAGGCAATCAGATCTGCTCAACATTTTATATATATTGAAAATCAGTATTTTCTGGGATCATCGTATGCGTGGCCGTCGTATAACGATGCAGGTGAATATCATGACTTCTTTTATGTTGAAGTATGTGTTTCCTATATATACTCAAGATATTCCATTGGTGGACTAAGTATGCCCCATTTAATCACAATCATGTGCTTATATGCATATTTGACTTACAGAGTGAATTGACCTACCGAAAAAAATATTGAGTAATTTCACTCCAAAGTATTGGTGAAATCTTTTGTTTGTGTGTCAATTGACCATTTTCATCCCTTTTTCTGTATGCTTACGAGCTAAGTCTTTAACTATTACTGTTTGCCACATTAATGAAGTCTTAGTAAGCAGTGGACTTGTAGTTAGTTTTTTGTCCACAAACCACTCTCAACTGTTTGTAGCATGGTCTGTGCAGGAGCTGATAACCTTATTCCAATGGAATTGGCCTTGAAGATTGCTAGCAAAATTAGAGCTAATGAGAGATTTGCTGTATATATTGTCATACCGATGTGGCCCGAAGGTGATCCCAAGTCAGCTACAGTTCAAGAGATTCTCTTTTGGCAGGTAGGTTGGTACATGAATGTGTTTCCGCAGATGTGTGTAGACTTTGGTGCTTTTGTTTTATACGTAAGATGGCGAGAGGGAAGATATAGAGTACCATGGACAAGGGTGCTCTTTACATGACGATCAACAGAAATTACTACAGACTGTATAGTACCGAAGACTAAGGAATTGATTCCATTTAGGTGTCCTGCCAATTAGAGAATATGCTTTCTCACTTGTTCCCCGTTGTCTATGTTTAATGCTGTGCAAAGTATTCTCTTATAATATCTCCTACTCCTCACACATTACATTAGCCATAAAATAGTAAATTGAATTATATGATAATTTTTTAGGACAAGATTTCATGTGTACTAATTCTTTGCAGACTGCAATCTCACATAATCTAATTCTTTTACCCTTTTTGCCTTCTTTTCTAACCAGAACCAGACCATGCAAATGATGTATCAAGTTATTGCACGTGAATTGAAGCAAATGCAGGTCGAAGATTCTCATCCTCAGGACTACCTTAATTTCTACTGCCTTGGTAATAGGGAAGACAATTCTGGTCAACCTTCTCCAGATAATGCGGTAATTCTTTTTGCATATGTTTTTGACTAGTTTTCAGGTCCTTGAAACATGCCAATGGTCTATTTCACTAGTCATTAAATTTGCAAGCTCAAGACCCCGTTCAGCGGTGCTTGAATGCATTGAAACGAAAGCATGGTTCATAGGTTGTAATCGAGCTGAGCCGAGTCGATAGAGTGCAAAGCTCGAACTTGACTCGATTTGCATACTCGGGGATCGAAACTCAGCTCGAGCTTGATCGCGTATAAAAGATTTAGGCTCGAGCTTGACTTGAGCTCAACTGGATTATACTAGAATTATTTATGAACTCGAGCTTGAGTTTAATAAGCTCAGACAGTTTTCTGCATATATGTGTATGAGGGTCATATATGTAATTTTAATGACTTTTGTGTCGTTTTCTGTGATTAAAATATATTTTGTTCAAAAATAATAAGAGCTCGATGAGACTCGGGAGCTTGTCGAGCTGAGTATTGACAAGCTCGAACTTTACTCGACGAGATACTTGAGTAGCTGAGCTCAACTAGAAATACGATGAGTCGATCCTGAGTATTTATCGATTGGAGCTTTAGTTGCAATAGGCACATGGTCAATCAGCTTTTCTCATCATATCATTTGATGAACCTTGGACATGATGTTTTCTGACATGTTATGGCAGGTCTCAGAATCGTACAAGTCCCAGCGATTTATGATATATGTTCATGCTAAAGGAATGGTCGTGGATGATGAGTATGTTTTATTGGGATCAGCAAATATTAACCAAAGATCATTGGCTGGTACCAAAGATACCGAGATTGCCATGGGTGCATATCAGCCCCATCACACTTGGGCACGAAAGAAGAGGCATCCGCGTGGTCAGGTTGTTGTCTTGTGGCTTCTTTGCATAAGCCTAATTTCTGATTTTAGGATGTTTGTGGTGGCTCTCTCAAGCAAATATGCACTAAATCTTCAGAACACAAATCAGTTCACATTTGTTGAACTGGTTGTAACAAAGCCAAGAACACCAATTTCCAGTCAGATATATTAGGAAGTCATTAGAATTCATGATTTTTTTCTCGACAACCTAATATAAAGAAAAGAGTTCGAAACATTTTTGACTCTGGTATTTGTTTTGACACAGTGAATGCAGTCACATCTTAAAGAGGTTGCTGTGACTTGTGAATGGAGTAATGGGCTCTGAGAGATATATATGCATTTTGCATCGAGATGCATATTTTTGGGTATGATTGTTTTGTCCCTGCATTGTTGCCTATCTGTGCAGGTATACGGATACAGGATGTCCCTGTGGGCAGAGCATCTTGGGGAAGTGGAAGGATGCTTTAACGAGCCTTGCAGTTTGGAATGTGTGAAGAAGGTGAGTGAGATAGCTGAAAATAACTGGAACAACTTCAGGGCTAAAGGTTCATTGCAGGGCCACCTTCTCCGGTATCCCATACAGGTGGACCAACATGGGAATGTTGGGCCATTACAAGGATCGGAGGAGTTTCCTGATGTTGGTGGTAAAGTTGTCGGTGCTCATTCCAATACGCTCCCTGATGTTCTAACAACTTAGGTTCTGTCCTACTCCATGTCCGTCCAGTCCTAGGAGCTGCAAAGATGTTTCCTGGGTTGTCGCTTCATTCTCGATGTGTACAAGTTGTATGATTTCTGTCTAATTGTTTTTTAGTGGTGCCGGGGTTCAGATTATTCTTTCACTGTTTGGCTTTACTCTGTGGCTATCTGGATCTTTTCCGGACCCCTGCATAATGAGGATCCTCAGCTGTGACCCCATCCATGGTGTGAATATCGTATTTGAACAGTTTGGAATCTGGGAGCATCTGTGCATGTGTTTTAGAAGATATTGATGTAATGTGGAAATTGTTGTACAAATGTAGTTGAAAACAGCTTCGCTCTATATGAAGTAATTGATGCCTTCAGTTTGAAGTGAATAAATCCCAGAGATGCAAGAATCATTTCGTGAGAAAGTTCTTCCACATATTCATTCTATCCTACCACGTTTATCTGTGGTGACTTTTGGCAAATTTTACGGCATTCAAGACTTATTTTTATTCGCGGTAAATACTCGAAATCTTTCAAAATATACATACATTTATGCACTTGGACCTAAGCAAGTTCTTAAATTGTTTCGTTTGAACTCTGAGATGTAAAACACGAGGTATTATCTAGGGTGAGGGAAGAAAAACTATCTCCTTGTCGGAAACTTCGATTTTCCCCTGCTTCAGTGAGGTATTCCTCGGTAATCACAACAAAGGATTCATGGCAGGCAAATACTTGAAATTTTTCAAAATATTCATATATTTATGCACTATAAGTTTTAAAACTTATCATAAATGTGCCGTTGAGTTCTAAAAAGTGCAATTAAGTGCTTTCGTGAACATTATTCAATTGAGTGACCTTTTTTTTTCTCTCTCCTACGTGGCGACATTACTAAAACGTGAAACATAAGACTAATATAGGGAGATTCAAATACTAATTTTTGTAACCTAAATTTCAATTAAATTATATTGAAAAAGTAATATATGCTAATTTCTCAAAAAAAGAACCCCGTAGTTGAGGACTGCCACCCACCATTGCCGAAAAGGGCCGGAGGTGGTTGCTAGGGCCCTGGCAATGACCGATGACCCTCGCCGAGGGAGGGGGGAGGGGGATCTGGTCGGGGGTTAGGGTGCCCTGACGATTGAAGTCGTCCGTGAAGGAATTGCTGTATGTGGTCCACGAAGAAGGAAGTAGCTTCTTCGTCAACCTCCATTCCGACCATCATCTTTGAACTTCTCGTAACGCTGGATTCATCTTCTCCATCATTTCGGTTTCTCTCGGGATCTGCGAGCCAAATCTACTTCCATTGATGATTCGAATCGCATGGAAGCATAGCTCTCGATGACACTTGGGTCTAACCTGGGTGAGGGTAGCCATCCTCAAATTCGGGGGAGGGCCGCCGCAACCCTCGCTCGAAGGTTATGGGCCCTTGCTTGTGATCGGCAACGGTCACTGGCCATCGTTGAAGCCCTGACAACCCCCTGCCCTTTTAGGGCAATGGTTGGGGGCAGCAAGAGCGTCCTCACCTGTGTCTTATTTTTCTTTTTCCTTAAAAAACAGCTTTTTTTATTTTAATTTATTTAAGATTTGGGTTTTGTTATTGATCTGTCTTATTTCTAACTCTCCTATATTTCTCACACTTGTGCACTGTCTCTTTACACAGACCGGGAGTCGAATCCTACGCTAATGATACTGGCATTGCCCAGTGGCAATTAAGATTTAGGTTAAAAATTAAGATTTCGAACCAAAATTACTTCGTTTTAGTCACGTCAACACTACGCATGAGAGAAAATAATAACAAAAAAAAGCAACGCCGGCATTTTCCATTAGCCAGTCGGATGGAGTTGACGGGAAGGATTTGATTGTACCAATATTACAAGTTTTGGCATTTGACTGTACTTTTTAAAAGCTGTAGCACTCAATTGCATTTTCGTGACAAGTTTTAAAATTTTTAGTGCATTTATCCATTGCTTTTTCTGTCATATTATTTATATCCAAAATATAATTTACAAGCTTATCAAATTTGTGTAACTCCATCATTTCCGTCGCTATACTTTAGACGTTTACAATGAGGTTTGTACAGGCATTAGATTATCAACTCTACTTTTTTTTTCAAGGAATAAGTATATTGAAAATCATAAAACTTGTTACGAAAATGCAATTGAGTTCTAAAACTATTAAAAAGTATATTGGTAGTCCTAAAACTTGTAATGAAAGTGTAATTGAGTCCTAAAATTATGACATCTCCAATTTGGACAGAGTCAACGAAAGGAAAATGGCCATGGAATTGGCGAGTAGATCGATCCGAGGGTCGGTCATGGATCGACTGGTATGGTCGGAACGGGTATTTAAAGGATCAGTCATGGTTCGATCGAAAGATTGTCCATGGATTGGCCAAGGGATCAACAGTGAATGACTCCCCAATCATGCAAGTTGATTAGAGTGATTCGACCATGGATCGATCGCTCAACCATAAGGGTTGACAGTGGAACGATCCTGGACGGATATGGGTCGATGCCACTCGAGTATGTGTCGGTCGCGGATGATTCTGCACGGCCATGCACCAGTCGCTGGCGTCCATGGACCGATTCCATCGTATTTGATTCTATGCGGCTACATGACAACCGAGGATCGACCATAGATCGTTGATGCTCGAACATGGAACGGTTACGAATCGGCCATGGATCGTTGTGTTGAGTTGGGTAGGCCACGGATAGGCCATATACCAGGCCAAGAGCCTTGTGGCTTGGTCGTGGACGAGGCTTTGTGCTGGCTGTGCAAGCCAGGCCTTGTGCTTGGCCATGGACCATTCGTGTGCCCGTCAGTCAGGCCACGAGCCGGCCTTGCGCCCGGCCGTGTGCTAGTCATTGTACCTGACCTGTGTGCTAGGCCTTGTGCCCATCGGTTCTGGCCCAGACCTAGTTCCGTGCTAATCAGACTTGGCCATGGGCCATGCATTGTGCTTACCCGTGAGCCAATGCATGTGTACAACCCATGAACTGGTCCCTCGTTAGTGTATTCCATCTGTGTGCTCGGTTCCTCGCTCGTGCAGCCCCGCAATGCGCTCGATACGCCGTCCGTGCGGCCTGGCCCCGCACCCGCGCATTCGGCCCCGCGCTCATGTGGCCAGGCTTGACCGAACAGGCCATGTACTAGGACAATCCGGCTAATTCCACCTTGCGCCGTTTAGCTCGGTCTTTGGCTCGATAGTGTCCAAACATACTCGGACATATTTTACACCGAACCTTGGTTCCAAATGGGATGGTCGATCGTTTATGGCACTTGAAAACCCCTAATTACCTTATTTCATTATTAAGTTAAGTTTTAGTGAAAATTGAGTATTCAAAGGAAGATGTGCCACTAGAATTAAGCAATGACCCCAATAATTAAGCGTTCTTGAAATATGACACATGGTTCAAGCCTAAGAGCATCTTGAAATAAGAAGACAAGTTGACTTGACTTAGTAGTTGCATTATTGACAACTTCTTAGATAAGTTGGCCGATAATGAAACCTAGCCCTTAAGCCACCAATAATAAAACCATGAACCAATAATAGAGTTGTCTTATAAGAATCAATACTTGAGAGTGATTCGCGCCCAAAAATGGGAAATTATGGGCTAGAAGACAATTTGACAACTTCCTTTATAAGTTATTTAAAGTGCATAACTTTTTTTGCTGCTTGGTGCCATAACTTTCAAAAAAGATCACTTGAGTGCACTTACGAAAGGCTGGTCGTGAGGGCCCGAATCGCGGCTCCGGCGAACAATGACCTTCCCGGCAAGGCGAGCACCACTAGCTTGAAGATGGGGTGTCGGTGAATCATTCCATGGCCTCCGTTCGTCTCGAAATTTCCGTTTTAGCCTCCGTTGACGAAGGTAAAAATGCTTCGTAGTCACACATTTATCGAGGTGCTCGCCTCGCCGGGAGGTCATTGTTCGGCCAGGACCGCGGTTTCGGGCCCTCACGACCAACCCTTCCGAAGCTAGTCGTGAGGGCACGAACCGCGGCTTTTCCGGCGTGGTGATCCTTCCCGCGAGTGAGCACCGCCGCCTTGGAAGGGTGTCGTGAATCATTCCATGGCCTACCAGCTGAATTCCTTTAGCCTCCGGGACGAAGGTAAATGCTTCGTAGTCACACAAATCGGTTCGATAAATTGTGTGACTACGAGTTTTTACCTTCATCAACGGAGGCTGAAACGGAAATTTCGAGACGAACGGAGGCCATGGAATCGAGTTCACCGACACTCTTCTCTGCGCGGTCTGCCTCGCCAGGAAGGTCACTACCGTTGGCGGAACGAGCCGCGTTTGGACCCTCACGACCAGCTCGTAAGTGGCACTTAAGGATCTTTTTGGAAGTTACAAGACTAAGCCAAAAAAAGCTTATAACACTTAAGTGTCCTCCGTACAAAGTTATGGCACTTGCACTTACTCTTAATTTTGTGTCTTGAAGACTATGATCAAGGACACATTCCCAAGCCAAGAGGAGAGAATGATTCATGCCTAAGAGGAAGAAGGCAAGGGCAATGAAGAGCTATCATTGTTATCATAGTCTTGAATGACTTAATAGGGTATCATGTTCCTAGATTAGCAACTTGGAAATCAAGTTAGCAACATATGGCCCTCATTGAAAGCTTGATGAAGAAGACTAATGATGGCCAAAGACTTTCAAGACTATCCTCATTATTAACTTAAAATTTTGGCTCTTTCTTCATAAAGGGCATTAGTGGACCACCCTATCAATAGCCATTGTCCCCACTTAGTCTCCCTTTTTCCTCATACCATTACCAACTCTCACGCCTCCTTCTCTCTTGCTACCCCACCATCCGGCCTTCTTGCTCACGTCTCTCTCATTTTCTCACGTCTACCCCACTTGGCCAACCACCACCTCTCCCTCACGCCACCTTCTTGGTCCCCACTAGATCTTGCTTTTGTCGAGTAGAGTAAGTAGATTCCCTAATCTCGGGATAAGATGATATGATGCATTGTTAGCTTGTGTTTTTACTAGAGCCTTGATAGGGACTTGCTTGTGTGTGGCTTGTGTGCTTTGTTGTTTTGCAAGATATAGTCAAGAGTCAAGCACGAATCGGTCGCGAAAGAGGGAATGTATGTCTTGTACGCACGTTATGGCATATGGATCAAGACTTGCTTGGCAAAAGTTCGATATTGAGGCGTATCGGATCCGAGCTAAGTACGGTTTTATTTAATGTTTGGCGTGTCGGATCAAGTCATGGACCCTGGACCGTGACCGACATACTAGATGATTTAAGCTTATTATCCATGAATCACACTGCACTCACGCCTTCGGGCACTCTTGTTTGCATGAGATATAAAGAAAGATAAGAATACGGTTTCCTTGATGCTTGTGACGCATGGACACACAAGGGACTAAAGTCGTCTATGATGGATTTCGAGACATTGCCCGATGGATTTCGGATGCCCGATGGATTTCGGAGGAACCGATGGATTTCGGTTAAGAATAAATGAATCCCGTATGTTTGTTCTTACATGTATTGCTTGTATACTATGCTTGATGTTTTCTCATTTGGTGCATGTGCCATGAATAGCACATAGGCAAAGTAAATGCATTTTTGCTATTGATTTGCCATCGACATTGGGGCGGTAAGGTTGGACTTGTGTCCGACGACAATTATATCCTCCTAACTTGAAATTAGAAGATTTACTTATTGAGTCGATGGCTCATTCCCCGTTATTTTTTCTCAGACTTGTAGGATGGCGGCTCCTCCCGTCCGCTTTAGAACTCCCGTGGAAATGATAGTAGACTTAATCGACGTAATAGACGCAGCCAAAGGGAGAGCCTATCGTAAAGTTATCTCCCAAGTCATGGTCGATGAAGGCCTTAAGAATCTTGTTTCGCACCTGTACGAAGCTTGGTATGAATGGACGGAGGACTGCTCGGATCCCTTCGCTAGTTTCATGGCCGTTTTGGTGGTGCCAACGGACCGGCACCTGGAAGCGCCGCGAACGGAGCCTAGGCGGCGAACCTGACTTGGGGATGACCGAGCGTGTTATAGGAAGGAACTTTTTGGAGGCCCCTTTCTAGATAAAATCACGGTAGCGGGGCTAGGCATAACCCAACCGTGTTTGTTGTAGCGGGTATATGTGTGTGAATCGTCCCGTAAAAAGAAGGGACATGTAAAAAGGTTTGCCTTGTAAAATATATAAACTATCATGTAAATATAAAGTTTGCTTATGATGCTTGTTGTAACCCCGTTGTTTGTTCTGATTGTGATTGTCCTGAATTCATGCTTCTGCTTGCTTGTAAAGAAAGATAATAACGAATGGGACGTCGCAAAGTAAGCCACGGGTTATGGTCTTGGTTGAGACGTGATTAAAAATTTTAAAAAAAATACAATCAACGGAAGGACTTGTTTCGACAAATTTACAAGTGTTAGAACTTAATTTCACTTTTTGAAAGTTTTAGGACTTAATTGCGCTTTCGTGACATATTTTAAGACTTCCATTGTACTTTTTGAAAGTTTTATAATTTGATTACGCTTTCGTGATAAGTTTTAAAACTTTCAATATACATATTCCATTTTTCAAAATTAGTACTATCCATGTTCCGTATGTGGTAATACTAATTTCAGTGAAACCGTAGTAAAAAATTTGTGAATAAAATGAGAGGAGGGTTAATCGATCAGATAGATGTTTCTTGCCCACGTCGAATATATTTGTTACCACAACAAGTCAATTGCTATAAATTATAGTAGTTGTTGCAATGACAGTCTTAAATGTTTTGTCCAATTTGTCCATCGAGTATTGAATTTATTATTTTTGATAATTCAGTTGTAAACATTTACAATTTTAATATATTTTATTTTTCGATTGACCATGACAAAATGGCCAGGAGAAAAATGCCGCGAGATCTCACCATCAGCGACCCGTAGCCACCCATTCCAACGAGGGCGAGGAGTGATCACCGGGATTAAAGGATTTGGACAAGGAGCAGCTCTTGATAGGTTTCTAGGATGGCGAATGCGGTAACAATGAATTGAACCATACACCGAATATGGAAGAACGATTTCAAGATATTATTGACTCAAGAAGGTAGGTGCTTTTTAACATAACGACAATGCTTAATTTTGAAACTCTAAAGTTAAGCGTGTTTAGGTGAAAAAGCAGATGTTACGCAAAGGAGCGGTTCGGTCGCGACCGTGCTTCCCATTTCTATGGAGTTTTGTTTCGGGATTATTAATTTTAGGGATTTGAAGAAGTAGTAGAAGAAGAAGAGTAGAGAGGGAGAGGAGAGAGAGGCGCAAATGGGGGAGCTGCAACGAGAAGGAAACCAAACAGGAGGAAATTTCGAAGTTTCCGAAGAATTCTCGTGGGGGGCCAATCATCGTACACGTGACAGAATCTAATATTTTCTCGGATAGAGATACGAGGTTGGCGACGGCGGCGCTGCTCGAACACCTTCGCCTTCGCGCGCGATCTCTCTCTCGTCTCCTGTGTATTATAACATGCATGGCCATTGGCCAATTCTCCATCGCTCATTTCGTGGGCTCCTCGTCCTGAAACCTGCGAGAATGCCTTCTGCTTTCTCCTAACGCATCCTTTCCCTCTCTCTCTCTCTCCGCGCATCGATACCTTGCTCTCTCTTCTTCCTCAAGCAAGCCACCGCTCCTCTCTCTCTCTCTCTCCTATATGATGATGATGATGATGATGATGATCCGCCATGCCTTTCTCTCTCTACCCATCTACCCTGCCGCCACCTCCATCCTCCTCCGGTCCCTCCCATGGCAGGTTCGCCTCCGGGCCGCACCGTCTACCTCCATGGCGACCTCGACCTCCACATCATCTCCGCCTCCAACCTCCCCAACATGGACATCTTCTCCGAGCGCCTCCGCCTCTGCTTCTCCGCCTGCGCCGGAGCCGGGACTCAACCCTCCCGCTCCCGCTCCCCCCACCCCGACCTCGCATCCCCTCCCCGCGACCGCCGCCGCGACCCCGACCCCGACGGCGACGCCCACCGCCACGGGAAGATCATCACCTCCGACCCCTACGTCAAGGTCCGCGTCCCCCACGCCACCATCGCCAGCACCCGCGTCCTCCACGACACGCAGAACCCTATGTGGGACCAGCAGTTCCACATCGCCCTGGCTCACCCCGTCGACGACTTGGAGTTCCACGTGAAGGACGACGACATCTTGGGCGCGCAGCTGATCGGCGTTGTTAAGATCCCGGCGCGGGAAATCGCAGCCCGCGAGTTCATCTCCCGGTCGTACCCGCTAATTGGACCCTCGGCGAAGTCGAATTCCGTCCTCCAGCTCGAGCTGAAGTTCACGCCCGTGGAGAAGAACGAGGATTACCAGAACGGCATTGCTGGAGTGAGGCAGACTTATTTCCCCTTGAGAAAAGGGAGTGGCGTCACGCTGTATCAGGACGCTCATGTGGTCGATGGGTGGTTGCCTGATATCAAGTTGGATAGCGACGCTGGAGGCGTTTATAGGCACGGGAAGTGTTGGGAGGATATTTGTCACGCCATATCTGAGGCTCACCATTTGATATACATCGTTGGGTGGTCGGTTTTTCATAAAGTTAAGCTCATTAGAGAGCCTACCCGTACCCGGGCATTGCCGCGAGGCGGGGACTTGACGCTCGGCGATTTGCTCAAGTATAAGTCAGAAGAGGGGGTGCGCGTTTTGCTGTTGATTTGGGATGATAAGACTTCGTACAACAAGTATTTTATTAACACGGTGAGAAGTAATGCCCCCCTCGATCACATGCTTCCATCTGCTTAGTTTAGTAAATTAAGATGGCATACGGCATCACCGATTACTATATTGTTGTTGGTTCTGTCGTCCAGACTCTTATAATGGTTAGTGTATTAGTCGTGAGAACCCCTTGTCTAGTGGAGGAATTAGGTGATAGTGTCTCTGTCTTTGTTCACAATATTTGTCTCTACCGATGAATAAGGGTGAACGAGTGGCATTTCTTGCAGGCAGGGGTGATGCAGACACATGATGAAGAAACTCGAAAGTTTTTCAAACATTCATCGGTGAACTGTGTGCTGGCCCCGCGTTATGCCAGCAGTAAGCTTGGCTATATAAAACAGCAGGTATGCTTTTCCTTGAATTCTTGCAGTTTCACCACATGTACCATTGATCAAAATCCAGAGATTAGCACTAGCATTGGACAGCCAGGGTCTCTTTGTCATTTGCCATTGCCATTGCCATAACCTCTTTCGCATTTATGAGCTACATGGCATTGTGATGTTTTGTTCCATCCTCAGGTCTAGGCATTCAGCCGCCTAGCATATTTGTAGTTGGAGATGCGTTTTGTTGTAGAATGTTCTTTATAAAGTCACTTGATGTACTCTTTTGGACTCTTTCACTTAGCCCGTTCATAGAACTAATGTCCCCTTTTGTACTTTTAAAGTTGAACGCTTGTTTATGAAGTTTTCTTGCATTTTTGGGCTATCATAAAGGTACTCAACTTTCTAAGGAAGATTCTGTGCTATACATAATCCTCATTCATTATTTTGGAATGATAATCTTAAGGGATAAGGTTTGCTTTGTAATATACATTCATTTTACTTGAGCATTGCTGCATAAATCTTGTGAAAATGGACAGACTTTATCCTCTTGCTTTCTTGAGTTCCTTACAAGTTTGGACTGTGCTATATTTATCTCCAGGTTGTTGGAACCATGTTCACACACCATCAAAAATGTGTCCTAGTGGACACCCAGGCGTCGGGTAATAACCGAAAAATAACTGCATTTGTAGGAGGAATTGATCTCTGTCACGGTCGATATGATACACCTGAGCATCGGCTATTTCGCGATCTTCACACTGAAGTTTTTCAGGATGACTTTTACAATCCTACATATCCTGTGAGTTGTTTGTCTATAATTGATATGCATTAGTGCCTTTTGCCTAGCAGTTCTTCTTTTCTGTTAAATACTCTTGTGTGTACTGTCTTATAACGTAGGTCAAGTTTGGGACTCTGGAGTGATAGAAGTCTTTTGAGCCCCTTTTTTTTTTTAACTTTCCTGCATGAAGAGTGGCGTGATACTTGCACTTGAGAACTGATGTACCAGCTCCGCAATAACAGTCTTCCTATTTCTGATTAGATTTGCTTTGTCGCATCAGATAAATTACGATCATAAGTGTTGTGGTAGCATTAAAATTTTAAGACTTAAAAGGACTCTAACTATTTTGTATGGGAATTCACGAAGAAATAGTCAGGTGGATAAGCAAATGCAATGAGGATGAATTGATAAAATCAAAATCTGTGAATTTGAAGGGGGTGATTTCCTAGTTTTTCAGAATTTATTGCCGTGGTTGCACATCGGAAGTGGATTGAATGTTATTTAGACTGAAGGAAGATTCATGCCTCTGTTTGATGACTTGCTGGAAAAGTTTTTTAGATAAAGCATATAGTGCACTTAACCTTTGACAGCCTTGCCGAAGGTACAAAAGCATTTTTAAACTTTTGGATTGTGGAAGTGGCTGCAAGTTCTAGTCTACTTCTCGGATTTGTCATGATACGAGCGAGTTCTTTGTGTCATTTCGATCTTAATCTGTTGCATGGAGAAGTATAAAATGACCGAGGTATATATGACTAAAGTAAGTTTTTGTACATGTTGAGCCAAACCATTAAATTTTCTTTAAGCTAGAAAGTTTGTGCTTATATGGAGGGTCCCTACAGAATGCCCATCTATATTCTGTGGGTACACCTAAATTTTGTGAATTTGATTGATAGAACCTGAAAAAGGGTTGAATGCAACAATTTCTTGCTATTTTCTTTCAGTTTTGAGTCTTGTGACCAGTAAGATCTTGGACTTTGGTACCATCCACTGGTGTTGCTGCACATCTTGGTATTGTCTCTTGATTTTCTTCCAGTGAGTTACTTTACTTTGTGTCTTTCAGGCTGATATGAAAGCTCCAAGACAACCGTGGCATGACTTGCACTGCCGGATTGAAGGGCCTGCTGCATATGATGTCCTGATAAACTTTGAGCAACGTTGGAGGAAAGCAACAAGATGGAAAGAATTCAGTCTCTTTGTCAAAGGAAAAAAACATTGGCATGATGATTCCTTAATTAAAATAGGCCGTATCTCTTGGATATTGAGTCCTCCATCGACTGAGTCACATGATGGCACCAGATCTCATTCAAAGAATGACCCCCATGAGCGTTTTACGGTAGTGCCTGAGGACAACCCCAATCTCTATGTCTCTAAAGAAGATGATCCTAATAACTGGCATGTTCAGGTTGGAAATGCAAGTTACGTGTTTTTATTGCATGTTCAGTTTACCTTTCTTTTATTTAGCCCTTTTGCTTTGTGTTTGCTTGTGCAGATTTTCCGGTCTATTGACTCTGGATCAGTCAAAGGATTTCCCACAAAAAGGAAAGATGTTACTGAAACGAAGGTCTACATGAGATCTATGTTTCTTTCTTCATTTCTTATCCCTATTTTTCTTCTTTTTTTGCTTTTGTTTAGTTGAATGAATTTCGAAAAAAGGAGAAGAAAAAAATATTACTGGACTTGGGCTGGAGTAGGAATCTGCCTTGTTAAAACTGAATTTAGTTTCTACTTTTCTAATTGACATCATTGTACTAGAATTTTTTTTATTGATATCTGCATCCTCTTAATTATTGGCATTTTTTGGTGCAGAATCTTTTAGTTACAAAAGATGTGGTAGTAGACAGAAGCATTCAGACAGCTTACATTCAGGCAATCAGATCTGCTAAACATTTTGTCTATATTGAAAATCAGTATTTTCTGGGATCATCATATGCGTGGCCATCGCATAATGATGCAGGTGAATATCATGATTTCTTTTATGTTGCAAGTACGCGATTCCTATCTATACTCCAGAAATTCCATCGGTGGACTAAGTATGGCTCATTTAATCACAATCAAGTGCTTATATACATATTTGACCTGCAGAGGTGAATCAACCTACCAAAAAAACATTGAGTATGGCTCATTTCACTCCAAAGCATCGGTTAAATCTTTTCTTTGTGTGTCAATTGACCATTTTCATCACTTTTTTGAATGTTAAGGAGCTAAGTCGTTAACTAGTACTGTTTACCACATCAATGAAGTCTTTGTTAGCAGTAGACTTCTTATAGTCAATTTTTTGTCCACAAACTTCTCTGAGCTATTTGTAACATGGTCTGAGCAGGAGCTGATAACCTCATTCCAATGGAATTGGCCCTGAAGATTGCTGGAAAAATTAGAGCTAATGAGAGGTTTGCTGTATATATTGTCATACCGATGTGGCCTGAAGGTGATCCCAGGTCAGCTACAGTCCAAGAGATTCTCTTTTGGCAGGTAGGTTGAGACATGAATGTGTTTTCGCAGATGTGTGTAGACTTTGGTGCTTTTGTTTGATAGGTAAGATGGCGAGAGGGAAGATATAGAGTACCAAGGACAAGGACACTCTTTACATGACAATTGACAGAAATTACTACTTACTAAAGAGTAGCCAATACTAAGTAATTGATTCCATTTAGGTGTCCAGCCAATTAGAGAATATGCTTTCTCACTAGTTCCGGATATCTATGTTTAATGCTGTGCAAAGTATTCTCTTATACCATCTCCTACTCCTCACACATCACATTAGCCGTAAAATATTAAATCGAATAGTTATACAAAATATTATGTGTTTCTAATTCTTTGGAGACTGCAATTTGCCTGAACTTCTTTCCCAGAACCAGACCATGCAAATGATGTATCAAGTTGTCGCAAGTGAACTGAAGCAAAAGGAGCTCAAAGATTCTCATCCTCAGGACTTCCTTAATTTTTACTGTCTTGGTAAAAGGGAAGATAATTCTGGTCAACCTTCTTCAGATAATGAGGTAATGCTTTTTGCAGTATGTTTTTGACTTGTTTTCAGGTCCTTGAAAGTCGAATTCTGACTATATGCCAATGGTCTTTTAGTGCATGAATGCATAGACAAGCAAGCATGGTTCATAGGGTGGTAACCGAGCCGAGTCGAGTTGACCCGATACTGTGCCAAGCTCGAGCTTGACTCGACTCGCATACTCGGGACTCAAAATTGGGTTCAAGCTCAATCGGGTATAAAAAATTTAGGCTCGCATTTGAATTGATCTTGACTTGATTATGATAGAGTTATATATCAACTCGAGCTCGAGTTTAATAAGCTCAAACATTTTCCTCACATATGTGTATGAGGGTTAATATGTAATTTTAATGACTTTTGTGTGTTTTTTTTTTTGTAATTTAAAATTACTTCTGAAAAGAATTATTAAAGGTCGATTAGGCTCGGGAGCTTCTCAAGCTGGAGACTCGACAAGACACTCGAGTAGCTTATCGAGTAGTCATTGAGCGGGGCCCCAGTTAAAAATGGCAGATGGTTAATCAGCTTTTCTCATCATATACACGGATGCACAGACCCAAATACACGATCAATCATCTTTTCTCTCGATATAATTTGATGTTACTTGGATCTGATGTTTTCTGACATGTTACAGCAGGTCTCAGAATCATACAAATCCCAGCGATTTATGATATATGTTCATGCTAAAGGAATGGTTGTGGATGATGAGTACGTTTTATTGGGGTCGGCAAATATTAACCAAAGATCATTGGCTGGTACCAAAGACACCGAGATTGCCATGGGTGCATATCAGCCCCATCACACTTGGGCACGAAAGCAGGGGCATCCGTATGGTCAGGTTGTTGTCCTGTGGCTCTTCTTTGCATAAGCCTAATTTCTGATTTTAGGATGTTTGCGCCGGCTTGCTCAAGCAAATATCCACTGAATCTTTGGAGTACAAATCAGTTCACACTTGTTGAACTGGTTGTGACAATGCCAAGCAACACCATTTCCAGTCAGATAAATTAGGAAGTCTTTACAATTCGTATTTATTTCCCTGTTTCATTTTTTCTCAACAACCTAATTTCACATCCTAACAGAAACGAAATCGAAACAGTTTTGACACTGGTATTTGTTTTGGCTCGGGGAATGCAGTCGAATCTAAAATAGGTTGCTGTGACTTGTGAATGCAGCAATTGAGATACATACTTTTGGGTATGATTGTTGTCTGTTTGCACTTTTTGCCCATCTGTTGCAGGTATATGGATACAGAATGTCCCTGTGGGCAGAGCATCTTGGGCAAGTGGAAGGTTGCTTTGTTGAGCCTGGCAGTTCAGAATGTGTGAACAGGGTGAACGAGATAGCTGAAAAGAACCGGGACAACTACAAGGCTGGTGGTCCATTGCAGGGCCACCTTCTCCGGTATCCCATACAGGTGGACCGAGATGGGAATGTTGGGTCATTGCAAGGATTCGAGGAGTTTCCTGACGTCGGTGGCAAAGTCGTCGGTACTCATTCCAATGCAATCCCTGATGTTCTAACAACTTAGGTTCCGTCCGACTCCGTGTCCATGCAGTCCCAGGAGCCGCAAAGATGTTTCCCGGGGGGGGGGGGGCGTCGCTTCATTCTTTGATTTGTACTAGTTGTATGGTTCTGTCACGATTGCTCTTGGGAGGTGCCGTAGTTCAGATTGTTCTTTTATCGTTTCGCTTTTTCTGTGGCTATCTGGATTATTCCCAGACCCACCCCCCTTGCCCAACGAGGATCCTCGGTGGTGATTGCGGCCACGGCGTGAATGTTGTGTCCGAGCAGTTCGGTGTATCTCCTTCGGCTTTGGTCGAAGGTTCCTGCAATTATACAATCTGGGAGCATCCGTGCTCGGTGTGATTTGGAAATTGTTGTACATAAAGCTATAATGTAGTCGAACAAGCTTGGCTCTATATGAAGTGATTGATGCCTTCAGTTTGAAATGAGTGAAATCTCGGGGATGCAAGAGTTAAGTTCTCGACACGGATCGATTCTATCCCCGCCATATTCATTCGTGGCGACTTTTCGGGCAAATTTCACGCTCTCGAATTCGGCTTTTTATGCAGCGGGAAATTCTCAAAACCTTTCAAAATATATACGGAAGTTCGAGATTCGATATAACCCTTTAAATTATCTCTTTCAATTTCTATCCAAAATACCAACCAACTTGCAAAGCTCATCAAATTTGTGCCGACTCCCATTCTTTGAGTCGCACTTAACAAATCAAAGAGCATCTGGGCCGTTAGATTAAAGTGCCACTTCACGCGGGGCCCGCATGATTCCAACGGTCCCGATTTTCATTTCAGCCTTTCTTCCCCATCTTGGCAGCACCCTTCGTCTCTCTCGCGAGCTCCTGAGCATCTTCTCTTCTGCTGTATTGCTCTCTCTCTCTCTCTCTCTCTCTGTCTCTCTCTGCGTGTGAATTGCCTCTCTACTGTCGGAGCCGCGACCCTCAACGGTAATCTCTCTCTCTCTCTCTCTCTCTCTCTCTCTCTCTCTCTCTCTCTGTGGTGTTGTTCACCGAATCGTATGATACTTGGGCGACGGCCGGGAGGCCAATCTGCTTATCCGCTCGTGTGCGTGCACTGGACGTGCTCGTGAAAATGCCGAAACCAACCTCCGACCGCGAACAACCTCGTCCGGCTCTCTGGAAATGCCCGCCAGGCTCTCGCCGCCGCGTGGCTGCCCGAGTTCGCCGATTCGCGCGGCCGCCTCCGAACATTGCTTCCCGAGCGCGGTCGAGGTTATTGCGCGGAAGAGGACCGGTTGGAATGAGGGTGTTGATTATGGGACCGTGTACCGGCTAATGAGATGTTGGTTCCGAAGCGTTCGTGCGCTTTGCCGAGTCGGTGAATTCGGTCGGTTCGTATTCGTGGGAATTGTATGATTTCGTGCATGGTTTTATTGCTGAAGAGAACAGTGTGAGGAGATGATGAACCCGCGGGCGTGACGTGCATTGCTTAGGCTCAAGGTCGGCCTTTTATGTAGTATGGGTCAGGATCCATGAGGCCAACTCTTGGGGTCGAATCTGAAATGCGAATTTATGAGCTTGATTGGTTTTTAAGTGTGTAAGTTTATTGAAGAATGGCGCGCAATCAGGAAATTACCAGAAATGCAAAGTTGAATTCATATAGTGTTTTGGTCAGCATTTAAGCTTCAAATGAACAATTCAAACAGCGCAGAAGGTTTCGAAATTTAGGCGCTGAAAGTTCATGTCCTGCAATGGCGATGTTAACGTTTCTTCTTGAAATCTTTTTTATCTTTTACCAGTGTGATATGTTCATATCTTGAGAACTATTGGAGTATGTATGCCGATTTTAAACTTCTAATAGTTTTGGAAAGCAAATAATATAACTAATTTTTTCAATGCTAAAGTTTCAATTATTGTATAATTTTTACTTTCCATTATGTCACTAGCTATAGTCTCTCATAATTTGATAAAATCATGAGGTGAATTGCAGATCAGTGCTGATTAAATTGAGAACAGGATAGCTGAGGGATGTGGAAGATCTGTTACTTGAAATTGCCTCTTATTTTGTGATCTTGCTTTCTCTTTTGTAGAGTTGCGGTTGCATGTTATTACTTTTTAACTCACATTATGTTCTTTACATGTTATATAGTTTTTATTTTGTAAGTTACATCTGCTTTTTGTAAGTTCTATGATGTCTAATCTAGTTTTTGTTTCTAAAATGTTTGATAGTTCATTCTAGTGTCATTTATTGGAAATGTTTCTTCATTTTCATGATGGGCGTTTTATCATCATGTAGGTGAATGGTGATCTAGCCCTGTGACAACAGTTCGAGCTGATTTGGATGCCATTGATCTGGTAACAAAATTCGAGCTAGCGATGTCAGTTTTAAATCTGCAGAAGCCCCAGTTTCCGAGACCCTTCTCTTCAGTTCCAACCTGTCCTTTGTCTTTGACAAGCTACCTCCAGTTGCCATTCTCTCGAAGTATTCGATTCCCAAAAAAGCTGAATTGTCTTTCACCTTCTTCTGGATCCTCACCAGCATGGCAAAAGGACATCATTGATGAAGAACATATAATTGGTGACTGTGTTGTATTTGAAGATGGTATTTTCGAAGACCCATACCTCCAAGGTGAAACCGACCTTGACAACTTTGTTCCACCTAAACGCAAAGGCAAAAAGAGGTTAAATGAAGTTGAAACTGAAAACTTAGTGCCAGAAAGTTGGAGAGAGGTGCAAGCAGAGATTAACATTACAAAGAAAGATAGGCGCAAGATCGCACAGGAATTAGAGTTTGGTCGCACAGTCGAGAAGAGAAAACAAGGTTATGTGCCTTTAAGGACTGTGAATTTAGAAGAATATAAAACTTACAAAGAGGCGAAGATGGCACAGTTGAATCCAGTAGTTCTTGACAGTCCTTCTAGTTTTCCAGTGAAAGAAGTGGGTAATGCAGGTGCAGAAAAAGAGTTGCTAAGTGAAAGAGCAGCGCCACGGAATCCAAGATGGGAAGTTTATGGGAGGGGCTTGGAGGATGTTACTGAATTTTTCAATAGTGGAAACTATGAACCTGGTAAAAAACCTGAAGGTAAAGCTGCTATGCATCACATAAGTCTTATGTATGGCTTTGGTTGACTGGAATTAATTGAAAGCCTCAAATGATTAGTTCAGAATTTGGTTGTTTAAACTACGGAGATTGGATAGTAACTTCAAAACATGAAAATAGGTCCGCGCAAGCTGTTTACTAAGGAAGAAAAGGTTCTGCTGAACAGACGGATTCCTAACCTGGTTGTTGCCACATCTGTAAGTTCTCTGTGTTCTAGTTCAGCATTTAGTTTCATTTTTTTTTTATGTAAGTACTTTTCTTGATATATTTTAAGTGATTACTGATGTATTACCTGTCTCTTTGACTCAAAAAGTTTCTAGATTGGAGATTTACGGACTTATAGGTGTCTAATTATCCTGTTGGATGAGAATAAGATCAGAAGCAAGGACTTGGCTACTTCTGTGTTATGTCATTTTCTTTTTAGCAACAGAAGTTGAGGATTCAGTCTTTTTTGGCTCACGATGAAAGTTGCTGCAGGACAAATGGCTACCCCTGCACACATTGGCTGCATCGGGAGAGTTTTACCTTATGAATGCTTTGCTGAAACACAATGTTGATATCAATGCTGTAGATAAGGTACGATAGCCTGATTATTAGATGATTAATCATTGAGAAAATTTCTCTGTATTGAACACTCAAGTTGTGAGCTTGTGATGTTAATTTTGGCTTATGTGTTCTTTCTAGGATGGTTTGAGTGCACTCCACAAAGCAATTATAGGCAAGAAGCAGGCAATTATGAACTATCTTTTGAGAGAATCTGCTAATCCATTTATTAGCGATAAGGTATAGATACACAAATGCTGTATGGCTTGTTTCTTGTTCATTGACATGATATGAATGGCATTTGATATTCGGCATGTTTCACTTCATCCTAATATTAGTAAATGATACCGATGACTGAAATATGAGGGTATTAGTGCTCATGTTCTGTTAGATCAATGGCTATTATGGCTACATAGGAATTTTCTTCACTATCTTGTTTTGGCTAGACTTTAGTCTGTATGGGTCTTTGAGAATAACTGTCTATATAAGTCATGGAAAACTCAGCTCCTCTTGTGTTTGCTTATCTGAGTCATATTACTCTGGACCTGTATTCTCACATTTGTCTGTTCTATATAGGAAGGGGCTACATTGATGCACTATGCTGTCCAAACAGCATCGAGTCAGGCGATAAAGATTCTTCTATTGTACAACATTGACATAAACGTCCAGGATAATGTGAGGACCCTAAATGTTGATGGGCACTCTTACATTTTTTGGGTGTTAGGCCCATAGCTTTATATCTGAGGATTTTGTCTCTGTTCTTCAGGATGGATGGACACCATTGCATCTTGCTGTCCAATCTCGACGAACTGATGTGGTGAGACTTTTATTAATCAAGGGAGCTGATAAGACAATAAAAAACCAGGTAGACTTAATTGAATATGTTATATTGCACAGAATTTTTAGTGAATTTCTTTGCTTCCAGTTTTCTTGGTATTGCAAATTGCTATCGAATTGTTTCTTTAATCTAGAGGCTGTTCGTAGGCAGGTGCCATTCACGGTTGAGCTCATGGTAAATACTAAAAATTTCGCTGTGTTCTCCGAGGAGAATGTTTGTGGTAGTACCCCGCTCCCTTATAAACCATGTAATTACTGGATGGCACATTTCCATATTCCTCGAGTGTCCCCAAGAGAATGCACTAATGTGCTATGATAGGTCTGTGCTCCACACATCGGACAATTACTGAGCATACAGACCTGCGCTCCTAAGGATGGCCTTGGGAATCGCAATTGGTGATTTGCCCTTAAAAATCTGGTGAGGAAGATGGATATACCCACTGCTTGAGAAACTCATTGGATTTATGGTTACAGACGCTTATCTTTAATAGATAGTTGAACATCTAGCGGTTGAAATGAGAGCTTATGGTCTACGTACCTAAGATATCACCCTCGTTCCCAGTATTCATGCCCTTAATTTGCTTGGTCCATACTTTCTTTTGATACGTTGCTTATTCCTTACTTATGTGACCTGTAAACTTGAAAATTTTTCACCTGATGAACTGCTGGATTAAATTTAGGGTGTAGAAAATAGCAGTGTTTTTTCGGCCAGAAGCATGTAGTAAACAGTATGATGTGCTCCTAGTTTCAATTCTCTGTGATGTGCAATTATCCTCTTTCATTTAGCCAAAAGTAGAAGCATTTCCTTTTCAGGATGGTATGACTCCACTCGACCTTTGTCTACATTCTGGTCGAGACTTGAGGACTTACGAGCTCATCAGGTTACTGAAGCAGCTTCCCAAGTCGCGCTTATTATGCCGTGAAAGCGCTGAAGCTCTCGGTCTTGAGGGTGGTCCTTGAAGATGTCTTCCTCAGGAAAGAGGCAAAAGTACAAAATGCACATACATCGCAGGCCACGAGTACAGGACCGGCAAATGGCAAAGTCAGCTTGCTCTTCGAAAGTGAAGCGAAGAATCGTACAACTAACTTCAGCCGATAACCGCCGGGCAAACGTTCCCAGGAAACCTTTGTGCTTGTGCAGGAGCAGGATGGTAGCGACAGTTGCTCTACATCAATGGACAAGTCGAAGAGAGAACTATTCTTCTTGATACCTAGTGAGATGCTGCCGAGACTTAAACGCACATGTTCTTATCTAATGTAATGGTTCTTAGCATTCGAGCACCAATGTGCATCTCGGGCATTCAAAGGGTGGTATGAAATAATCCGACATGTCGGATAGGGAAGAGTTGTCTACCTTGTCCAATCAGACAGTAGTGCGTCATACGCTGTTGTTTATTCTGTCGTTGTTAAAGTCGCCCGGTTGGCTCGTGCAAGAATAGAATAAGTACATGACAGATCATCTTTCCGTTTATAAATTCGATGGGGATTTCATTCCTCTGGATCTGGACATTGAGCATCGTCACTTTCAATTTCGCAATTACTTCCTACATCATTTATAATATACTGTCCTGCAAGTAGGCGGAGTCTACTAATACGTTCTTTATTTTAACATACCGGTACTTACACGCCTTCATCCTCTCTATCGGATCATGATTTATTTCTTACTCTGACCCCGATAATACCCAAATTTCATTTTAACATCTCGTGATCTAGACATGGTAGTTTTAGGACTCACCAAGGTCCGTAGCCCCTAAAGCTCATTGCCACTGGGTGCTTGATTTGCCTGTACCGTAATCGACTGCACATCTCAATTCTTCCCGCAGGTTCAGAATCTTTTTCTTGCGCCGACCCGACAATATCCAGCTTCATTTTAATGTCTCGTGGTCCATACGAGGCAGTTTGAGGACCAATCCTTTGGTTGATGCGCCGTGCCAAAATGGCAACGATGATGAATGGGCAAAAAGCACATATAAATAGGAAAATAAAATAAAATAATCGTATCTTTTATCTCTTAAAGAATATTTAGAAATCCATATTATTTTTTTAAAAAGAAAAAAGGGGGAAAATAGGACGACAAACAATTAACAAACGTGAAAACAGTGTTGAGATATGCGCGTCTCCGTCTCCATCTCCATCTCCCCCGATCCCCCCCCCCCCCCACTATTCTTGTTTCCTCCATCCCGGGATCATCATCGCTTACCTTCATCACTAAGCTTTCTCTCTCTTCTCTCTCTCTCTCTCTACAATGCTCGCCGCTCATCTGTGCGCCCGCGCGATCCCCGGCTCCGGCGCGGCGGAGCAGCCGCGCGCCACCCGGTTGATCGCGACTGCGTGCGCCTCCTCTCCCCTCCGCGCGTCGGTCCGGCCGTGCGGGGGGCGGCGGAGGCGGTGCCGCGGCGCCAAATCCACCACCCCCATTTCGTGCACGTCGTCCCGCGGCGGCGGATCGAGCGGCGCCGCCGACGAGGGCGGCGGCGGCGGCGACTATCTCCAGGCCTCTCTCCTCCTCGCAGGTATCGCGTTCTCCGCGCGCCCGCGTGCCGGCGTTTTGCGCTGCGCGTGCGGATTCGGTGCTAGCTCGTTGGTTTATGGATTGCGTGCGTTTGTGTAGATAGATTTGGGGGGGAATGCCTTGATCGCGCTGGGACTCGTTGGCTGCGAGCCTTGATCAACTTGAGCTGTTTGGAATGCGAGTGTCGTCTCGGATTGAGCTCGATTCGACCTGGTCATTTACTGGGAGTCTGATTGGGAACTGTCCGCGGTTGAGTTATTGAGTAATTTGGTGAAAATTTGGCAACGGGTGGGGAGTGTTCAGATGATGTTACGACATTGGTTGCCCGAGATGATCGAGGGACTTGTCGGCTAATGAATAGTTTCTTTATGTGGAGAGATTAAATATGAGAATGACGGTCTGGGAGAGTCGCTTTTCTCTGTTCAACATCAGATGGTTCTAGTCTTTGGCATTTGAATTTGTCATGTTCTATTTTGCTGTTCGTTGTTTCTGCATATGATGTCTGCTTATTCGATTGCCAGCAGCAAGATGCATTGATGAAGCCGACATTTTTCAGTTTGCTTTATTTTACATGTTGACTTTCTCCCATTCAATCGGCTCGTATCACATGGCATGGAGCGTGTTAGAAATTACTTGATATCTTTCTCCACAACTTACACGATGAACTTAGCTACATTTTCTAATTTAATGTCGTACTAACTAGGTTAGGTACTACATCTGCATCTCCACACTTTTTAATGGATATCCTGTTATTCCAAAGAATTGTGTATGGGTCATTCAGGACCAAGGGATCCAGGCTTGAGACTTTGTCTTCCTGCTTCGATCCAATTGTGTGGCTTCCATCTTTCACTTGGTTTTCACTCGATGGGAACTGTTAGAATTTCATGAACAAGTTGTTCTGTTGAAGTAGTTGGTTCATCTGTACTCAAAGTTAATACTCCCTATTGAGGAGCTTGCACAAGAGATACCTATATCCCAAAATCTCAAGGATTATACTTTTCTACATTATTCAGATTTATTTAACACTTCCCATAACTTGTAACAATGCGGTTATAGTTCTATTTGTACTTCTTCTGATGATGGAAGTTATAATAAATTAAAAGTTATCCATGTATTGAAAAGTATATTTTGGACTAGCTGCTTTTGGAATTTGGACAACCTTCTTCCTGGAGCTTTTTACACTTAATCTGGTTTCAGAGCCCATGTCATAACGGATCTAAGATTTTGTGTTGATGAAGCTTTATATGTCTTGGTTGATGCTGAATTCTATTGGGGCAGAAACCGTTTCTCACTACCGTATGCGGAGGAGAGGATATCAAGTAGATGTGAACAGTCAGTTATCGAGGCAATTGCATCCATTTGCAATCAAAGCAAGGGGTCCTAGTATAGATCAAGGATTCCTTCACCGGTTTCAGAGTCCTACAATTTTTCTTAAGATTGTTTGTGATGGAGATTTCCTGCTACCCATTGTTGTAGGTATACAAACAGTTTCCTGCACACTTTTCTCTTGTCCTGTTCCTTGTTTTCCATAGCTTCTGGACTAATGTATTGGTATTTTCTTTTGTCTCTTTAGGAGAGTATGCGATTGAAAAACTAATTGATGCCCTTCACAGCGGTGAAGATGGGGTAATTAATTATTTGTGGCTTTTAGTGAATGTAATATTTCTTTCTTTAATCTGAATGTTCTATGATGGTCTTGTGCAGGATTGTGCAGATCAATATGATTTTGTGAAGGATCTTACAGACAAAGTTGGTTTTGAAGTACGTATGTAAATTTCACTTTTAGGAACTGGTTGAGGCTTAATTGTTTTTCTGCTGGCTTTATGTAAATGGTGCAACAGGTTAAGCATGCATTTGGGTGTTTTAAGATTTAGATGGGGTACACAGAATGATACACTGAGATTTACCAAAAGCTGATACACTGTACTCTACTGGTAACACAGTGATTTACTATGTATTGTTATGATAATGGAATCTATTAAGTGGCTTTTGTCTCAAACATGTGCTGTTTTTGATCGTATAAGCACGGGCTGCTTGCTTTGACGTTCAAAATTGGTGACTGTGAAGAACTGAACCTTAAAGATAATTAACATATACCCTCAATAATCCCATCACTAACGTGCTGCAAATGGCATTGACTTGATCTTGTTTCTTTTATTGGAGCATAATTAATGAACGAAACTTCATTTATTCAGTTGTTCAAGTTATTTATCTAGTACCATGCTCTATACCATCACTTCTGAAGTGTGTTGTTAGGAAAATTGGTTCTCAAATACAAGTGTGATTTGGTCTCCATGGAATTGAGGCATATGAAACATCGATTCAGTTTGTATAAGTGAGGTGTTTAAGGAATTCACTAGAGCAACGGAAGAAATCTAGATTAGAAACTTTGAATTTAGCTTTTGATTTTTGAGTGAACACTAAATATGTTGCGTAAATCTTTCTATCGCTACTCTCACATCTGCATTTCTAGCGTTAGCTTTCTGTTGCAAATTGACGTATTCAACATTACTCATCCAGAGATGTAGTTAGAGGTTATAATAGATGAATCTCGTTTCCCTTTTTTGCAGATAAAGATGGTAAGGATCACACAAAGAGTGGCAAACACCTACTTTGCCAGATTGTGTTTCAGTAAGGTAACTAAAAGCTCGTCGGTTGAACAACATGCTAAATTCCAGAAGTCATCAGCCTTATGGTTCTTTATTTAATGGTACAATTAAGTGTTTCCTTTTCTGCAGTCAGGGAAAGATGATGTCCTAAGTGTAGATGTTCGTCCATCAGATGCCATAAATGTGGCTTATAGGTGTAAGGTTTGTATTATGTATCTCTCCTACTTGCAAGTGTCTATTTGTTCTGTGAATATTGGAAAATGAAACCCGCTCAAAACCTGACCTCTGAAGTTTTGTGGATGCATGCTTGTACAACTTAGTCTGGTTGGACTCAAGTTCCTTCTAATTGTAAACTGAATGGGCAAATGAGAAAGGGGAAATTGCTCAATGGATTGATCTCATATAGATTTGTGGTGTTGATGTGATTCACCAGTATAGTCCTGGAAAAATCAACTGAGCTTTCTTTTGTTTTTTTTTTTTTTTTGGTTTTTAGCTTGTTTTATAATTATCATTTAAAAATACCTTCTGCTTTAGGTTTCTTGTCGATTATGTGGTCCAAATCATTGGTAGATATCCATCATTGCCTCTTTTTAGGCCCAGATCATGTCTACCTTTATTTCCATTGAATAAGTAGATATGGCATTGGTGGAGTTGCTATGGTGTACCAATAAATTTGGTGCTGGCAGCTTCGTTATTTGGACTTTGTTCCTGATAGGAAGCTGTATACTGCAGGTGCCAATATATGTAAATAAGCAAATTGTCCTCAGAGATGCTATCGGTTTTGGTTATAGAACAGATAGAACGCGTGACAGAAAACCAGTCTATGACGTTTTACTTGACAGGTAACTCGATTTACGAACATAAGTTTTGTATAGTGTTGTAGAAAACTCAAAGTATGTAAACATACTCGAAATTTCTTCATCTAAGCATGATTCACATATTATCCAGTGCTTCAGACGGTCCAGATGCGCTGGCTGAAGAACTTGATTTAGTCAAAAACATGAATCTAGCTATCAAAGAGGAACGATACAATGATGCAGGTACATTTCGAGGGAGCTTATTTTTTATCCTTATTTCTCACAAAGCTTTTATTCATCAAGCATGAGTTTCCCGGTTTTACAGTGATTCATGATCAAGTTCACGAATAGTTCTCTCTGGATTTCGTGTTCTTGACCGTTAACTTTTGCAGCCTTGTGGAGAGATAAACTAATGAAGCTTCGTAAATCAAAGACGTAACAATTAGGCAGATCCAAAGGTACTTCCTTTTTCAATGCATTAATACCTCTACCTCTTGTGACAATCGAGGAATGACAAGTTTATGGGTTATCTGACTCCTGATATCATAGGCACATTTTTAGAATCTAAGGGGCTGTTTTAGGGTAATATTTCATAATGGTCGAGAATCAAGATTTCCATATATTTCCATGCAAGGGGCTGTTTAGAATCTAGGCGAACTACATTTTATCTGACCAATTTTCAAGGTGTTCCTAAGGCTGTTTTGGACATGACTCCTGTGATCCACTTTACATCTATGGAAATCTTGATTCTCAACCAATATCTCCATTTGGGGTAAATATTTTTAGTGATCATTTTTCTTGGTCCATTTTTTTAATTGGATAATTGATTGCGATTTTGATCATTGTTATACATAAATAAATGTAGGTCGCTTCGCCTAGATTTCCATACTATTTCTGATAAAATGTTGATGTAGCTTTTTCGGGGTGTACATGTCGTAGCAATTCTTCAGGAAAAAAAGGATACTCAGAAAAGAAGAAAAAGGGAGGGAGGGAGATCCTTCGTTATGCTTTTATCTTTTGTTCGTTAACTAAGGTGCATTTCGTGGTGTTTGACATTATTCTCCTTGTAATTTTCCTTTCAGGATTCTCTTGTACAAAAGAAAGTATCTACCGTTGCCGAGTGCTTGGTGGTGATGGTGGCATGTTCCCAGACTTCACTCGGTTTAACTCCAAAAATTGACTGGTAAAAACGTATAAGGGACCAAATGCAGGTCAAGGGGCAGTTAAAGTTAGTTTCTGAGTTCTAAAAAAATTGAGGCAACTCTGAAATGTACAGCTTTGCGTTAGATGAGTGCTGCCTCTAAGTTGACTCCGCGATCATGGATGCCTGCCTCCTTGTATATTACAGAGCGCCATTATTACTTGAAAGTACCGATTGTACTCAATTGCATAGTTAAACATGTATCGTCACAAAGTACGGCCGATATGTTGTACCACATATCAGTTGAATGCTAATGTCTGTGTACACATGTACACGTGCTCATTATTTATTGAAATGTTGGATGTGTTGAAGTGTGGCTGTCGAAGTTTGAACCGTGCTTTTAGGAATTCAAATTTGTCGGTTTCGGCCTATTCCTAGCCCAGCTTTTGTTCCTCTTTTCTCGAGGACAAGTCTTAACAGGTCAGCCTTCCATGAGCTTTAAAATAAGTGCATTAAAAGTCTTAAAATTTAGGGTTAATACCACGAAAAATTATAAACTGGTACATTTGTGACACATTTACCCTAAATTATTTTTTTGACCATAAAACCCTAACTGGTACACATCGTGACAATTTTACGCAAACATACCACAAAACCTTAAACCGGTATACGTGTGACAATTTTACCCCGAACTAATTTTAAATATTATTTTTTTGAATTTTTTTTTTCCTTCACCTTCAACCTTTGGCCGGTCGCCGATTCGGCGACCGAGGGCCGCGCAGGCCGCCCTCGCCGGCGTCGGGCTAGGGCCGCCCTCGTCGGTATCGGGCGAGGGCGACCCTCCATCGGCGAGCGACCTGCCGTCGGCGAGGCGACCTCGCCCAGATCGGTGGGGCCCCCTCGCCCGTCGGGCGGCCTCGCCGCGCGGATCGCCGGAGCGACCTCGCGGCGAGCGAGGCGTCCTCTCCCCTAGGGCAAGGGCGATCCTCGCCGACTCAGTGGGCGGCCTCGCACGACGCGGCGAGGTTGCCCTTGCCTGCTTGGCGGGCGGGCGGCCCGCGCGGCGAGGCGGCCCTCGCCGACGCCGCGAGGCGGCCTCGGCTTCCGCTCTGCGGCCGGGACGGCTGACCGGCAGTGGTCCGAAGATGAAAAAAAAAGAAAAGAAAAGAATAAAAAATAAATAAAAATTCGAAAAAATAAAAATAATATTAAAATTTTAATTCGGGTAAAATTGTCACATATGTACCATTTGGGGTTTTTTGTAGTAAGTTCGTGGTAAAATTGTCACAAATGGTTGGGGTTTTGGTTGGTCAAAAAAATAGTTCAAGTAAAATTGTCAGGTGTACCAGTTTGAGGTTTTTATGGTCAAAAAAATAGTTTGGGGTAAATGTATCACAAGTGTACCAGTTTAGGATTTTTCGTGGTATTAACCCTAAAATTTATCCATAAATATAATTAAGTTTTAAAATTTTCAAAAAGTATAATTAAATTTTAAAACTTGTTAAATCGGTGCAATTAAGTTTTTTTATTAATTCCGTTCAATTGGGTTAACAAGAGGATTGCCCTCGCTTGAGTTTTTTTTTTCTCTTTTCTGTATCTTTAAAGTTTGCTTATTTTTCATATAATTTAAATAAAATTTGTATTAAAAAATCAGATTTGGACCAAAACCACATCATTTTAGTTTTATATTTCATGTTTCAACCATGTCTTTGCCACGTAGGAGAGAGAAAATAATAATAATAAGTCGTCGTTAGCATTTTTTGTTATACCAAATTGGACGGAATTGACAGAAGGACTTGATTGCACCAATTTAATAAGATGTATGATTTAATTGCACTTTTTAAAAGTTATAGGACTCAATTGTATTTTCGCAACAAATTTTAGGACTTGCAGAGTACGTATTCCATAAGTTATTATCTGTCGCCATCTCCCGACAAGTCTAAATATGCATCCCCGAAACTGAAATGTCGAGGCTCACTGACTGAACCATGGCGTGGTTCGATCATGCTCAATCCTGTTAGACTTGGTAACTGCTACTAGGGTCCCGCCTCCGGCAATGGTTGCTCCGCCACCTTTACCGGCTAACCATCGACGATCACTGTCAGTTCTAACTAGAAACCCCCACGTTTGGCAAGATGTGTAGAAAGAATTCTAGCTACCTTTTGTTTTTTTTATATTAGAACCTTTTAGTAATACTAAATATACTATGATTCAAATTTATGTGGCAGAAAACTATCGGCGCTTTAATGGACTCACTGACAGAAATAATCACTTAGAAAGTGTCACATTACTTAATAAATTACTTTTAGGCTCCATATATTTGGTGAAAAATGAATGATTCGGAAAACATAATCCTTAAACCGATCGCTTGTATCATTTATAAAATGAATAAGCGAAAATATTTTTACCATTCACGAAAATATTTAGACATAAATTGTTGCCAATAATCAAGCGACCGTTTTAGGAAAATATCTCATGAATCAATCATTTTTCGCGAAACAAATGGAGCCTAGTATCCCTTTATTTGCTCAAAGCTACTATATTGAATGCAATGGTGGGGGATGCACTCATATTCCCACATAAATTAGTTGATGCGGACCTCCTAGCTAATTCATTTTCTTTTGGCATAGATCATGTAAATTTCTGCACTTGTGAATAACACTTTCTGCACTTGTGAATACTACTTTCCTTGTTATGCAACAATTTGTACAGACTCATCAGGACTGTCTGTACAATCGTTGACTACATATTTCATGGAACCAGAATTCGCAAAAGAAAACATCCAAACCGGAGAAGGTGCTGTAACGAGCATTACTGCCTTAATACAAGCTGATATCTCAGAGAAATTTCAACTCGAGCATCACCGAGCAGTGATAATCATCGACCTTGGACGGGGGAAGGAAAAGATCAGGGCAGGCGCTGACAGATGGAGGGGAGTCTCGGAGGTATCCGAAGACGCAGGGGATTCGGCATCTTCTCCCCGTCTCCCCAGAGCGCATATGCCTCCTCCCCATGCGCGGCGCCATCGCCTACTTCCAGTTCGTCCTCTCCCATTCTCAGGTTGACAATCCTGGTTATGAGAAGGCAAATGAAACTCGTGGCGACCACGTTCCATACCGTGATGAAAGCTGCTCCGATGAGTTGGTACGACATCTGCCGGAGTCCTTGGCTGGCCTTCCCCTGGATAATGCTATACAACAAGCCTGTGTAATTAGTATCTGAGCCATAAAACAACCTTAGGAGATAGGGTTTCGCAAACAGCCCCGAGAGGATGCCCCCAAGAACTCCGGCCACTGCGTGCGTGTGGAAGACGGCCAACGTGTCGTCCACCTTCTGGAAGAAAGCCGATCTTCTGTGGAGTACCATCATGGTGTACCATGGTACTGAACCGGACACTGCTCCCATCAAAGCTGCTGCCCACGGGTCCACGACTCCTGCAGTTGCGATCGGTTTAAATTATGCAGTGATGCAGCCGGTTTAATCACCAGAAATCGTACCTTGCAACTCGCGTGCTTTAAGTGAGTGACCGGTTGAGTTTAGTAAACGGAAACTACTAGCCGTATTTGATATCTAAAAGTTTTCCAATTTTTCGGTTTCATGTTCACTTAATACAGTCCAAACAATATAAAAGTTCGTGACAGTTTGTGAAACGAAAATAGAGTGCTTTTTCACGTTTTCAAAATGCAAATGAGGAGATTCATATACTGAAAACGTTTTCCGATGCGAAACGGTGCGGTTCCGGACTCGGAAGAGGGTCAAACCTGCCCCGGGCGTGATGCAAACAAGGCCAGTGATCATTCCCTGCACAGCACCAATGACAGAGCTTTTCCTGTAGAAGATCATGTCGAGCGAAACCCAGACGATGAGGCTTGTGGAGGTGCAGAGATGGGTGTTGAGGATGGCCAGAGATGCGATCCTACTAACAGCAAACGGCGAACCGCCATTGAACCCAGTCCAACCCAGCCACAAGAACCCCGCACCTCCCAACATGTGTATTATATTGTTCGGTGGGAAGTTTTGCCTGTCGTGTGAAATCCTCGGTCCAACCTGTACATACGAAATTCGCCCACCAAAATGAAAAGAACACTTGCATTATAGACATAAGAAGTAATGGAACGGAATGCCCGATGCGTATACAGACAACTGTGCTACATTCATCGGAATATTGAACCAAGAACAAGAATGAGCGAGATTTCTAGGAAAATCGCAGCAGTAATCAAAGGTAATTCCCCAGATTTGTTGGTGGTCCATGTATATAATTGGTTTAGGAGTGCTATGCAAATGGGGTTGCTGTCCAAAGTAGGAGGATGTTTGATTGGATTCTCATGAACCCATCATTCTCCTTGATGTCTCTAATAGAGAAAGATATACCCTCCTTTGTATCTCTAAGAAAGCCACAAAGGAAAAGCATATTTATATCAACTTCGAACGCTAATTTGATAAATCAATCTTTGTATCTCTAGAACTGTCTTAAATAACAAAATAATACAGAACTAAAGGAGATATGTCGTAGTTACTTGGTGATGATGCAATTCGTATCAGTATTTTGCTAGAGAATGTTACCATCTGTAATTCCATGATATCTTGATCACGGCATTGCTCGTTTATGCATCCGGCATACGAGGGCCGATAAAACTCGGTTTCTGAGTAATCAACTTAGCTCTCTGTGATCACTTGGAGCTTATTGTGCATGATCTAACAGTTTGCACATACATGATTATACAACAGATTCTACATAAATAAAGTCTATCTAAGAATCACTAATGATGATTTAACTATCTTAAGGTTTGATCTTGAGGGTTAATTCTCACGATGGCATTTCTTTCCCTAAACTTTGCTAGGTCGAACTTACTTAGGAAAAAGCGTGTGCGATGGACTTTTTAGTCATAGTTGTGATTATTGTTGGTCACTAATTTTGTGTTTATTACCCAGTAAGCAGCAGTGAAGCCGGCCACACCAGAAGAGAGATGGATCACGAAACCACCCGCATAATCAATGGTGCTAATCCCTTCCTTTTGATTCAAAAAACCGTCTCCCCATATGCTAAAGGCGCCAATCGTGTAGCTGAACGTCAGCCACAGCGGCACGAACATCATCCAGGCGTAGAAGTTCATCCTCCCGAGCAACGACCCGGCCAGCAAGATCACCGTGATCGCCGCGAACGCGAACTGGAAGTAGACGTAATCCGCCTTTGGCATCCACACGTCTTTATATTTCCTCAGGAGGGAGCGCTGGGATAGCACCGGTTGGGGCGTCCCCACTAGCGGGCAGAGGCGGTCCCCGAGCGCCATCGAGTGGGCCCAGAGGACCCAGCGGACGAGGACGGCGGCGAAGGCGTAGAGGGCCATGAAGGCCGAGTTCACGGCCCACTTCTTCTTGACCATGCTCCCGTACAGGATCACGAGGCCCGGGACGCTCTGCATGCCCACTAGCGTCGCCGCCGTCAGCTGCCATGCGTTATCACCCTTGTTGTTCCACCCCGGGGACGCTTGGTCTGGCACGAGGTTCTCCGGCAAATATACCGGGCTGCCGTTGGCATAGCTCATCGGTCCTAATGGATATGTGGGCGAGAGAGAGTGTAATGGAGATGGAATTGAAATTTTGGGATTGGAGTAAGAATAAGAGTGATAAAGAAGAGTTTGAGTTTTGGAGGTATGCATGGGGGGTTCGCATTGTTATAATCTACGGGGAGGTTTTGGCTGGTATCAGGATCCTCTAACATTCTTTGCTGTCTATAGCTCCAAGATTCAACTTCGATAGTTCTTAACAATCATCAACATCAACTTCAGCAAATTCTCTTTTCGGCCACTAATGTATAACATTTTTTTTCGCCCACAGTTGTCTCGAGTTAACTGTGTACACTTCTTGTTGGTACGGCTGATAGAAACTAAAAGGATGATGGTGTACGTGGGAACTAGGAAGCAATATTAAAGTTTAACTTATATGGCAATCTTTCCCTATTCGACACTCAAAAGCAACCTAACAAGAAAACGCGGAGGAAACGACAGAAATGATCCATGAACTTTATTCCAATGTACAATGTTGTTTATAAACTTTAGCCCAATACGTAATGAGGTCCCTAAATTTTTGGTATATGATCAATTTAGTCCTTAAATTATACAAAAATGTTTAATAATGACCTTTCATTAGTTCAAAGCTAGTGGATATTTTTACATGAAAATGTTCAATGAATAGTGCTTTTTTACTTGGTTGTGTGGGGGATGAATAGAAGTGAATGGGGACGAATGAATTTGAATGATTGACTTTAAATTCCATCCTAATTAAGTTTTGGACTCTGCCAACTTATATAGAAAGAAAACTTGTTATGGTTGGAACTTGTTTTGACTCTATTGTTGCTTATTTTCATGGAAGATTTACAACCACAATCTCTAGACATAAGTGGATTACATTCTTATTGCTTCATTCCCGTTAACCAGACGAGACCGTAGTCCTTTCTCGTTTACTAGTCCAACTTTCATCATCCGAATTCGTGTCTATATGCAGCGACAATTACCCTATAAAGACTCGCTTGCGCTTGCACATGGACTACTATACAGTCCTTGGCTCTCAAGTCCGATCTCAAAGTCCTAGTTTATGGGCACTAGGGTCCTTGGTCCGACCCTAAGGCCAAAGACAAGAGGAGGACTTTCGGGATCATAAGAATTCTGCTTTTAGCCACGAGAATCCTCTAAATGTAACAAAGTTCTGTATTGTAACAAATTAGACGATTTTGATTGAAGAAAAAGTAATCGATGGCCAAGTTTGGAATTGCACATGCTGTGAGGCAAAAATTTACTCCAAGATAAAATATCACATGAAATGTGACCTGAAAATGATGAATATTTAGGTAGTAAAATAATAATAGTTACCTAATTAACACGAATAAGAATAGGGCCAGAGAAAAACATATCCAGGGTCCCCAAGGAAGCTCTCTCATCCTTCCACTTGCTGGAGGCTAGACTTTACACTTACAATGGAGTCAAAGCATATTAGACAGACTAATCTCTACATTGCTCTTTTCTTCTTTAAATAGGGCGATTCTTGCCATTGCCAAAATCAATAGGTTGGAGTGAATGCACGCCATCAAGCCGTTTAGATTCATTTGCTAATCCGCATGGATTGTGTGCAAATTGTCTAGGTTCTTGGGACAGCCAAGCTGTCTTAGGGCTTGTTTGGCAAGTTGCCAAATAGTGAAAATTTATGTTCTTTTGTTTCCAAAATCAGTTTGGAAACAGAAATTCGTTTGTTAAATTTTTTGTGCCCGGGCACAAATTTGCAAAAAATTATTTCCAGAATCAGTTTTGGAACAAAATCAAAAAGAAATAAAAAGTAACTTCTTGATTCTGTGAACAATTTTTCCATTTCCGATTCTTCTTAGTTTTCTTCTTCGGTTTGTTATTCTTCTTCTTTCTAGCCTGCCCTCGGCTGCTGGCCACAGGCCAGGGTCAGCGAGGGTGGCTCGCGGCCGCAACGGCGAGGCCTCGCCCAGCCATGGCGAGGCTGGCGGCGAGGGCCGCGACGCCCTCGCTGGCCCTGGCCTGTGGTCGGTCGCTGACGCCGGCGACCGGCCATGGCCAAGGAAGGGAAGGGAAAGAAAGAAAAAAAAGAAGAAAAAATGGAAAAAAAAAAAGAGAAAGAAATATTAAAAAATACAAAATATTATTAATAAAAAGAAATTTAATGTAGTTACCAAACGCATTTATGTTCTTTTTCTATTCTAAGAATAGAAATTTTGGGCAGTTACCAAACGCATTCAAAATGCTTAGAAATTGTTCCCCGGCATGGAATAAAAAAGAATCATTTCTGAGCAAAATCAGTTCCCGGGCATAGAATCGTTGCCATGCGTACCCTTAGTCCGCAAATACTTTATATATATATATATATATATATAGCAAATAGGCATACACGTTGCGTTGCATGACGAGAAAAGGAAAAAAAGTAAGAAACCGGCTCGCGAAAGTATGTTGCTATTGGAATCGAAAGGAAAGATGAGCCACAGGTGTACATTCTAATGTACTATTTTTTCTTGATTCCCATGATGTCCTTAGCCGGCTATGGATATAATATGGGAAAATTTAGTCCTTAGGCGGCCAATTTAGTCCTAAACCTTTCAATTATGCCAGTTTAGTTCTAACTTTTTCATGATTTGCCAATTTAACCATTTCAGTTAATTTTGGTCGAAAATTGTTGATATGGACAATTTTTGCAATTTTTTTGAAATTTTTTGAATCTTTTCATTTTTTCGTTTTTTTTTTCTTTTTTCCCCTTTTCCCTTCGCCGGCCAGGGCCTCAATGCCCTCGTCTGGCGAGGGTTGCCCTCCCTCACCCTCGCCATCACCAGCCTAGGCACAAGCGATCCTCGCCAGATCCAACAAGGCTCAACGACGACCGGTGGAGAGGGAAAAAAAGAAAAAAATTGAAAAAAAAAAAGAAAAGAAGAAGAATAATTCTTAATTCTTTTTAAAAAAAAATTACAAAATTGTCCATGTCAGTGCCGGCCGTCCTACGCCGTGCCACGTGGGATGGCCAGCACTGCCATTATTTCAGTGATTTCTGGCTAAAATTGGTCCGAAGGACTTAATTGGCAAGTCGTTAAAAGGTTTAGGACTAAATTGGCACAATTGAAAAGTCTATGACAAAATTGGCAAATCTTTAAAAAGTTAATAACTAAATTGGCACAATTGAAAGGTTCTGACCGAACTGTTCGTCGTACAATAGGTTAAAAACTTTTTGGCTAATTTTCCTATTATAGCATTGTTATTAGATGAAAGATTCTTTCTTGTATTTGTACGTTGGTAGAGATGTCTCAAGCCAAGCATTCGCTTCGTCGTACCCTTACAAGTCATATTTGTGCACATGTTCTTTTTTATATTTTTTGTTCAAAAAAGGGAAATTGGAACGGAGAAATGAGAGAAGTATGTTGGTGCGTTTGGGAATACTTTTGAGAAAAGCCTTTTAGAAAATGCAAAGGGTTTTAGTAGGCATGGCCATGGTTCGGAACCGGCCGGTTCCGATTCGTGGCCATGTGTGAACCGCGGTTCCGGTTCGTAATTTAAAATTTTAAAAAATAAATTATGAAATAAAAAAATAATGAATTATAAAATTATGATATAATGAATTATTCAATATAAATTGTAATCAAAATGTAAATTGTAGGGGTGATTGGTTCCCGGTTCCGTCCGGTTCCGCTTGGAACCGGGAACAGAACCGGTAAAACCGGTCCCTTAATTTTAGAACTAGGAACCGGACCGGTAAATCATAGAACCGGGAACTGGACCATTGGTCCGGTCCGATTCTATGCCGTCCAATGTAACCCTTTGCTTTTAACTAGCAAAGGATCGTAGCCACAAAAGGCATACAATTTCACATGCTCATGGCTTGGCTTGGGTTTTATACACAACCCCTTTAATGGTCTCTTCATTCCCATTCGATGTGGGACTTTTGGCATTTGCATGAAGACAAGCCAAGAGTCTCACATCGAAGGTGTTCAAGGCAAGCCGAGAGTCCCACATCGAATGAGAACGAAGAGGCATTAGAATCATTGTGTATAAAACCCAAGCCAAGCCTTGTAATTAGAGTTCAATACAACCAAGCCAAGCATTGTAATTAGAGATCAATGCACTTATAATGCATGGCAATTAGAGTTCAAATTGTTTTATAAGAAAAATTAAATAATGAATTTTTTTTAAAATTTCATTATTATTATTTTTTTTAAAATAATTTGGAATCGGAACCGGGCCCGTAGGCCACGGGCTGGTTCCGGTTCCGAACCGCGGGCCCTGTCAACGGGCCGGGCCCGGGTTTGACCGGGCCGGTTCCGGGCCAAAACCGGCCCGTGGCCATGTCTAGGTTTTAGGTGAAAGGGTTTTTCCAAAATGCAAATAGTATTTGGTAATATGTAATTTAAAAACACATTGGGAAGCAACTTTAACTTAAATGCCGTTTGAAAAAAACGACACTTTGTAAAGAACTTTTGCTAGTTTAAAAAAAAAAAAAAAATTCTCAAAACTTTGCTGGTGTAACTCAGTTGCTGACAAGCCAAATCGACCGTCGGCCAACCACTAGTGACTAGATCTAGTCGTCAGCTAGCATCGCTTGAGGTCGGGCGACCTCAGGCGTCAGTTGGGTTTCTGTGATAATAGGGGACGCCTCCTGTGTTCTCACAACCTTAGGCGAGGCTGGCTAGCGCCAGATTGGCTTGTCGACAGCCAGATTTGGCCTCGCCGGCGGCCTAAACCATCGCCGGTAATGTCGCATGAGGTGAGAACATTTCCGGAATTATTATAGTTTAGTACGGTCAAAGTTGGAGAAAAAAATGTATTTGCATTTTGGAAATGCTCGAAGTTTAAAGCAACTCTGAACCTACCTTAGGCGAAAGGCCTTTGGAAATACTATTGTATCTCCTTAAAGCTCTTCAAAAAATTTGTCAAACGTTTACTTGCATTTGCCCAAGAGGCTTTGGAAAAGTTGCACTTGATGTCCGGTGAAAATTGTGTGCATTGAAATAATTTGAAAAAAGAAGGGGAAGTAAAACGACAATGGTGTGCTCGTTTCATTCTCAGACTTTTCATCCAAGAGAGAGACAGAGAAGGAGAGAGGTATCGCTCGTGCCCTCTGTCTTGGGAAAAATACCAAAAAAGTCATACACCTATTGTAATTGTGCCAATCAGTCCCAAACCTTTCAAATGGGCTAAATTTAGTCATAAATATTTTTACAATTTGCTAATTTAGTCTTAAATATTTCAATGGTGCCAATTTAATCCTTCAAATTGGTAATAAATTGCTGACATGACGGTCTAGT